TAGTTTCAAGTCACGACGGGGACTTTTATTTATGAGGAGCGTTTTCAGCTACGTCGCGTATGCGGTAACTTGAAATGTCATGCTAACAAGTACCTAAATACATACCTTTAATAACGCCTGGTAAGGTTTTGCTGACACCCCATATCCTTAGGGAAGCGGTAAGAGTAAGAGGAAGCTATCATCCTCGCAAAGGAGGAGTGCGTGGGCAAATGATCCTCCTCACACGTAAGCCGTTGAAGAAGACGCAACAGTCTCTAGCCACTGAAAGCATGGACCTACGAATAGCGAACAATGTCAACTTGGCGATCAGAACTATGTTTACAGGAGCGAGTCGCTATCCAAAGCCAAAGAGCCACCAGACCACTGCAAATTGGACCCACTCTGCCGAAGTTGCAGTTGCAAGCTTAATAAAATACTGCTTTGTTAGAAAGGGAAAGGGACTGGCGCGGTTTTTAGTCAGTAACAGTCTTATACTCTCACTCCAACTGGGTCCAAGTCATTGCATGATTTTCTATTGTTTTGTATTGCGACTTTAATGTACTAATGATAACAACATACTGAACCATAAACACATAGTAAGTCTGCTACTACTAAACAGAGGCCATACGGAGAATGGGTGAGCATTAATAACTACGCTTGCTGAAGACGAATCAGCGATTAAAGATCTAAATTAGACATTTTAAACCTGGATTTTCTTACGAAGGGTGTTTTTTAAAGAACTTAAGACTTTATTTATATTGTGTGCAAAAGTCACATGATTAATTCTAAATAAAAACAAAATATATTCTTCCAGCAAAAGTGTTCTGGACCTTCAAATAAAAATAACATGGTTACCCTACTTTCGTAATATTCAGACAACTAAATGGTTTTAAAACTAGTTTTCAGCTCGGTTCCGCTTATGTTGTTACGAAACATTTTCTCTTTTAATAATAACTACAACGTAGTTAAGTCTAATTAGTGCTTGAAGTTAGATGTCCTAGGTGTCTTTATTTGCTAGAATATCATTTTCCTTCCTACATTATAACTTACTTAAAACTTCATTAACTTGTATGTAATTTGTTGTAAAAGTTAACATGATTTTCATGTTGGTCCGAATGAATGGGTGATCATTGTTAATATCCTGACTCTTTGTTGAAAACAATGCGTCAAGTTCCCTTAAATCGGATAAGAACAGTCCTTGGTAGGCTTGACGTTTCGACCCGGTTGCACAGGTCGTGGTCACAAGCAGACTGAAGATGCGAAGTCACAGCTCCTTGCATTCGGTCGATGAATCTTCATCTACCTCCTTATTTTCCTTTTCTACCATATTAGGTAGTCTACACACTACGCTGACCGTGTCAACAGATGTGTTAACCTATTATGAAAGAAAGCGAGGTTGTGTTATGCGAATCACTGGATTCCATGTCGATGACAATTTAAAGCCGTCCTCCCGAGCCTACCAAGGAACCTATTTGGGATGCCCACTGAAAATAGGGGTGCCCACTGAAAACCAGTGCTGGGCGACTTGTATGCCTAGCTTACACTGAATGGGTAGCCCATTTAGCATGGCCATGTTGTATCGTCTATTTCTTGTTTCATCTGTTTAATCTTTAACTCATGTTTATCTTAATTCTACTGTCACACTTTTATTGTCTTTTTATATGCTGCATCGTGCTTGGTGCTGAATAAATGTCTTTTCTTTCTTTGTATTTAAATTATAATTTTTCGCGTTATATCCACGTAATTGTATGTTGTAGATATGAAACGCGAAAGTTAGTAAGGACAGTCCTCTGACCAGGTGATCTGTTCATACCTGGCGGCCTTTTTTTGAGGGGCCAATATCATTATTTTAATGTCTTCATCTGCCCTGCGCGAGGCAAGAGGGAGAGTCAGTCTCTTACTGACTAAAAACAACTCATTTCACTGACACGATACAATGGTTTGAAATCTGGTTGTGTGTATCTAATCTTGAGTTCTTGGGTCACCAGGTAACTACTTATAAGTCGTTAAAAATTTACAAGAAAATCAATGTACACTACGTTTTGTGTAATGTTGCATGTTTTGTGAATGTGTGCATCGTGTGTAATGTGATCCTATACCTAATAAGGATGTTGGAAAATGAAACTCTGGCACTAAGTAGAACTCACTGCTCCTAATATAGCATAGTGATCAATTACCATAAGAAAACAGCATTTGTGGCATATTTGATAGTTCATACAAACTCAACTGTCTTTTATATGCTTTGTAACTACTAAAATGTTTGATAAATAAGTGATTTGTGACGAAAAATATGTTTTAAGGTAAGTAAGCCATGCTTGAATACGAATGGGTCGGCTCGACAGAATTGGGTAGTGTCCTAGGTCAAAAATAAATTAATTCGACGTTTTAATACAAAAAAATATTGAAAAATAACTATACTTTTATTCATCTATCGATCGATACACTAAGTTTTAGATATTTTTAGCTCATTATTCAGAAATAAGTAAGCTATTTGACGCAAAAGTGTTATGACGTCATAGCTCAGTTTTTCATACAAATTTCATAGAAAAGTATCGTTTTTGACATTTGGATAAAAGTATTGAATTTGACTAGTTGGAAACTACCGTATTGATTGGATGCTATGGCGTCACACGAAACCGATGTTACGTACGCGGTGGCGCAGCCGATTGCTTACCATCAAAAATGTACTGAGAGAAGATTTAAGAATCACTAAGTTCATTTATGTCTTAATTAAAACACAGTTCATTCATCAACAATGGAAAACTCACTTAAATTTAACCTCTACAGCAGTTCCTACTGACAAATAAACACAGATGAAATTCAAAATGAAACAAAACACTAGCAGCATACAGCTCGACTCAACAAATTAGACGAATTTGCAAACTGCATTATGCATTCAGTTTCCAACCTCGTCAAATCTCAACCGTGTTTTACACTATTAAAGTTGATTTTACTTTGTGTGTTATTTGGAGCTTGTGATGTTTTGTGTTTAAATACATACAATCTCTGGTCTGTTATTACGCAAACTGCTGAAACAAGCTTACAAATGTACAGAACCATTGTTGTTAATGTGCCTCTAATTTACTAATTGGGCTACGGAAATTGCTATCTAATGATTAGATACTTGACCGCGTGCTAAAATAGTCGTAAAACTACAGCTATTTGGTCGCATGACGACGGTTAGAGTTCTTAAACAAAACAATGGCTGGCACCGAAATAAATATTCTATTTTTGAAAAAGAAATTGAAAAGATGTTTTTTTTCTAGAAAATAAATTTATGACGAATTAATGTGGACAGCGTTGTGTTTCGCCGTGTGAGTGAGTTTACCGGAGGCTCAATCCTTCCCCGCCCCCAATCCCTCCTCAATCCCTAAATTTCCAAATACCTAATTCCTAAAAGGTCGGAACGCACTCGTAACTCTTCCGTTGCGGGTGTCCATGGGCGGTGCTGATTGCTTACCATCAGGTAATCCGTCTGCTCGTTTGCCGACCAATTACATAAAAAAAGAAACTTAAAACTGTTCATCAAATACGAAACTTATATTTAGCTTTATATACTGTCATCTAATAGAAAATGGAAAAACGAGAAAAAGGACAGGAATAGTCATTAGATTTTTCAAACGCTTCAAAAATCTTTGTAGCCATTTATTTGTTCCTGGAAAAGGATCCACTGTATTTCACTAAAGTAATATTCCTAAAGAGCTGTAGAATATTGGTAAATATTTAATTTGTTTCTAACTTACCTTTTCTTTGAAGGAGTATATCATCTAGTGCCTTCTCCCGTCTTGGTTGGGGCGATAGGGTCTCAGACTCCAACTGACTAAAAACAATGCTGTTTTTCTGAGCTCCTACCGTACATTCTTGCGCTTGCACCCGCATTCCCAGCTGGTTCCCGATTAACCTTGTTCATATTTAAATGAGCTCAGATTTTCTAGAATTCTCCACACTATATCATATTTTCTATTTTCTATTGGTGGTAGGCAATGATATCGAAACGACAAATGACACAGTTCTACCATTCCTTTCTCTCTTATTCTTCTTACTTTTCTAATTGAACGCTCGTCTATTGAGGGTGTTTTTAATTTGTTCTTTCCACTGGCGCCGACGACGCCACCAACTTCACCCTTTCTAAATCCCATTCGCAAATCTAACGTCCGCATACCCAAACCAGACAGAGTACTTTAATAAGATACGTGTCTTTCTTGTTGAATCTATTAGCATCAGCCTCGGGCTAAAGTTCCGGGCCTCAATCAGTTTCGAAATTATCGCGAATAAGTTGTATATTTAAATTATATAATATTACCTTTGGTCAACATGTAGACATAGTTTTTTTTTTGTTTTAGTATAGTTTAAGTACCTTCTTTTTACGCCTAACCATCGTACTTAAAGTCATTTATTTACTACTTAATTTTAATATTTTCTTACGAATAATATCATCGTTAGTTAGGCACAATATAAGTTTTCATTAAACCTCTCAGAGTACGACAAATAATTAAGAATTAAGTTCACAACAAAGCTACTTAAATTTTAATAACGATGTTCTTTTTTCAAATTTAGGAATCACTAAGTTTTTGATTGGGTTCCACAGATTCCATTTTTTTATTTTTGAAAAGATGTTATAGTTAAAGTGGTAAGCATATAGAGTAAATATTCCAGTATATATTCACCTGCGTATCTATGTAGGTATGTATACACATGTGATTTGATTTGTAATTTTTTTTAATGAACGATTTCTTATTTCTTTTGAAACAAATTGAACATTCTTTTGACTTTTCTGGAGCTACGGATGACCATGAGTAATCATTAATCGATTACAATCAGGTAACAATTATATCAATAATTAGTTTGCATCGTATTCCACAATAATCTAACTATTATAATTGTAATACAATAAGGAATTAACTTATCTGGGTACAATTAATTTCTAAGTCTTCACATACTGACACTACAAAAATACAAACACAACGTTAAAGTTAAATCACAATTTAATCATTCCGAACTAAGAAAACAATATTGTCCGCTTTTTTTCACACACAATTATTCGTACCAATCACAAATGAACCTTGTAGCGTTTCATTACAGTTCGATTTACAACTCAGTGTGGGTCGAGGGGAATTTCTTAAGGACAGCGTGGTAGAGATTGTAAAAGGCGTAAACTGATACACTGATGATTACGAAAAGGGATCCTCCGAAGACGAAACTGAGGAAGTTTCCATCTATCATAGTGGTTCCCTGAAGGCTTGTGGCCTGGCCCTGGAAGAGCTCCTTGGTCCCTGTGCCTGCGGCCTTCCGTTCTTCCATCATCTTCTTCATCACTGATAGTCTTTCTTTCAGTTCATCTATGGACTCCACCATGTCTTCTGAAACTGGAAAAATTTGGTTTAGTTTTCAGTTTTTTGGTTGGAAATTTTAAATCACTGGTGTGGTAATTTAGTAAACCTAATTTGAATGATGATGATGATTTCTTGTTAGGTGATACACAGCCGCCTAGAAACTTAGTTCTAAGCAATAGTTTTCGATAGGAAATCGTTACTGAGGATGAGTTTAAATGGTCATTCAATGCCACTGAATACGATAAAAAGAGGTAATGATGGAGTTTCTGGCTCGTTTTTCTCCATTCGGAACGGGCACCTAGCTTAACTTACGAACAGACTAACGGACTATTATTCTATTTTAATGTTGCTAAAAATCTTGTCTATGTTTTAATTGGAATAAATATTTTTTTACTTTGAATTAAGCGGCAAGTGATTTAGTAAAGATAACTCTTGGTTTAATGGTTGCAATTGTATGGTTGGTTTCAATTTATGACCGGTAAAAAATAAAGCCGTAATGATACTCTTTTGTTTAAGTATTATTATATCTATATGTATGTAAATGAATATGAAAAACACATGACGACATAATCCTAGTCTTATTTTTATTGGAAAGGGCGGCAAACCAGCTAACAGATTACCTGATGGTAAGCAATCAGCGCCACCCATGAATACTCGCAAAACCAAAGAGAGAGTTACAAGTGCTTTACCGGCCTTTTAGAGGATTAGGGATTTTAAAATTATGACATGTTTTTCTACATCTTGATCTAATAATTGCGAGCAATTAAAGATATTGTAGTACTTCTGTTTTTGTCTTTATTACAAGTAACAATCTATTCTAGTCTACAAAATTAAACTAATTGGGGCCAAAAGTTAGACATATCAAAGTAAATTAGTAACAGTAGAGCGAAACCAACCTAAACTTTAACAAGTTAAAGTTGAAACTTGATTAATGTGAATTAACTTGTGTTCTGTTTAAGATACAATTATTGTAGGTCGGTACTGTAACTGGTTCGTTAGAAACATAACTCTTTTTAAATTGTGTGTATATATAATAGAAAGCCAATAATTCGAATTAATTCACAGAAAACCGGCGTGAAACTACCACAGCATTATGTTTCGACGTGTGAGTCAGGTCCGAAAAGTCCTAGAGTGCGACCAAGGACCGGAAAACGTAGTGTGGGCAGGCCTCCCACTAGGTGGACCGACGACATCGTCAGAGTCGCGGGGAGCAAATGGATGCAGGTGGCAACTTGTCGTTCGACGTGGAGAGCCAAGGGGGAGGCCTTTGTCCAGCAGTGGACGTCTTCCGGCTGATGATGATGATGATGATGATGATGATGTGAGTCAGGTTACCCGAGGCTCTATCCTCCCCACCTTCCATATCCCTAATATAAATCTACAAAATCACGATCAAAAGGCCGACAACGCACTCGTAACTTCTTTGGTGTTGCGGGTGTCCATGGGTGGCGCCGATTGCTCGTTTGACGTCCTATCATATAAAAAAAAAAAATGGAACTGGTGTCGTTTCGGATAATTGGAAATAGATTGGTTAAACTTAAAGAGAAATGAAACACTCATACACAAAAAAATTAATTACGTACCTACGTTAAAATAGAGTTTTTTAATAATGGTCTGTTGAACATCTTGATCAGAATTAGTAGGCCTGCCAGGCCTTAACAATATGTGACTTCTAACTGTTTTGATCGAAACAAAAATTAAAAGGTTTTTTTATGATTTTGGGTAAGACTGGATCATTTAGTATGCATTTAGCTGTATATAATGCTGCTGTATATTTATACAACGACTATAATATATACTTCAAGACTAGCAAACCCAGCCACGCGTTGTTGTGGCTAAGGTAAATAATATTATGACTATAAATTGAGATGTAAGCTATCCTATCTTTCAAGTTGGATCAAAATGCACACGGAATGCAAATCAAATTTAAAATCGGTTCAGTAGTTTAGGATTCCATCGTGGACAAACACGTGACACAACATTTTTATATGTAAAGAAGATATAATAAATAAATAAATAAAAGCCTTTATTGCTGTTCTTAGTTTTAGAAACTACTATACTTCAAGATATAATTGACTCAATTAAATAATTATGTGAATCGGAAATGCCAGCATAGGGATTAGGGAACAGGACGGCCTTCAAGGATTTATAAACATAGCGACAATGAGATAACACATACGCAATATTCAATTTCGAATAGTTTATCACATATAAATATATATCAATATAATTATTGAGAGACTGATACTTCATCAAAAAAAAATCTTCAACACAATAGTGACTATATCTTTTATATCTTAATAACTAAAATAAATATTATATCAACACAAGACAATTTAATATGAATTGTTTTAATAATATAGATTAGAACAATGACAACTTCACTCAAATCTTACATACGATTGCTAACAAAGATCCAGCATTGTATTTCCAGTCATAAAACTCATAAGCCACAGGTTAACAACCCTTAAGATATGCCTCGTTTATAAAAAATCCTACCAAAACCAAGATTTTTTCTAATTAACCTAGACTAGACTATAAAAAAGATACGTTTTAATACTAAATTAATGAAACCTAGGTTCATTTAGTAAGAAAAATCTAATTAAACATAAAACAAGACGTTTTTCTCCCGGTTTTAATGTGAGATGTAAACAAAATACAAGGTTTTCTCCACTTATATTGAAAAATCTTTGAATTACACTAGTTTTAATACATTTAGATTCAATTCTTACCTTCAGGGTCGCGATCGCAATTGTTTTTCACCATTTTTAAAGATATTTTACACTCACTGAGACTAATGTTTTGTATTTACTGTTGCAATGTATCCCGAAGGGTCACGACGGGGAAAAAGATGGCCGTCACGCATGCGCATTGCGGCGGCCGGGAAGACTCGGGAATATTGATCGTTGTCGGCAGGATTACCTGGAATTTCGGTCTAGATTTGACCTGCCCGTGTTTGAGCTGATCTTTTGCTATTTGAGTTGCAATATCCAATATTATGATTTAAAATTTACAAGGTTTTGCTTTTAAGTAAATATTTTCGATTGGAATATTTTCAAAACGTAGTAAGTAAAGTTTTTGTGAATCAATTGGTTGTGTTTTAAGGTATATAAATATATATAATACGTGGGTTCATACTTATTCCATTACAGGATTTTTTATTAATATTTTTTTATTTCCCCTCTTCTAGCGGGACTTGGATTTGTTGGACTATTACGACGCATATATTGTCACAGCGTATTGTTAATGATTAATTATCTAAAAAGGGGCCGGGGGAGATCTATGCTTCGGCACGAATGGGCAGAGACAACTGGATTGATACCTAAACCTCACAGAATGATTGCAGCGCTTGCGTTGTTTTTTCGTGTGAGTGAGGTGACCGGAGGCTCATTCTTCCTCCTTCTGTCCCCTCTAAACCCCATCCTCAAAACTCTTTCAACCCACGAAAGGCGAACAACGCAATTGTTACTTGATGGTGCCAACGGTAAGAGAGACACCCCTCTCTTAAAAATAACATGTAAGTAGGGTATATAAGCGAATAATAAAGAAATGACCAACTAGACTGCACTTATGACTGCACGGTTGGTGCGGTGGCTGGGCAACTGGCTGCCGTGCAACGTGTCGCGGGTTCAACTCCCGCACGGTACAACTCTTTGTGTGATCCACAAATTGTTGTTCCGGGTCTGGGTGTCATGTGTATGTGAAATTGTATGTTTGTAACCGCACCCACGATACAGGAAGAGAATCCTAATGTGGGGCAACGTTTTTTTTTTTTTAAAAAAAACTATCTACATCGACCTTATCCTTATACATAAATACCTATTGTTCAAGCATCAGCAGTTATTTCAGTTCGCTGCCTTTCCTTTGAAAGATTATACACAACATCAGTTGTCTAACCTGCGTACGATTGTTTTGAACTCTTAGTAAAGTTTGAGATGGAACAAAAGAACCTCTTTCATTATAAACTTAGTTTTACGGAAGAGAAGAAAAAGTTATAAAGCCGAGTTTAGAACTGTTGCAAACAGGATTAGGTTACCTTGACTATAGTAAAACGTTTATTTAAAAAGTTGCAAATTATTCACGGGTTGTTGCATTTGAAAATTATAAAATTAAAATTCAAAAATTATGGTTTTGGTACACAAGTTTTTTTATGGAATAGGTCGGCAAACGAGCAGACGGATTACTTGATGGTTAGTAATCAGCGCCGCCCATGGACACCCGCAACGGAGGAGTAACGAGTGCGTGGCCGACCTTTTAGGGATTAGGGTTTTGGAGATTTAGGGATTGGGAGGGATCGGGGGAGGGGAAGGATTGGGCCTCCGGTTACATGACTCACACGGCGAAACACAACGCTGTGGATTTAAAAAATCTGTTATCTGGATTTGAAGAAATCATGCCTTAAGTCAACAAATTCTTCAGCTGGGGTTGCGGATGCAAGTGCAGTAATGTACCGCGGTGTGTCCTCAGGGAAGTGATCCACGAAGAAGTGACTCAATTATTGATGTTTCCCTTACAAAAAAAAGGGTACGAAACTCTTCAGCTGCGTTATCGTTCTAAAATATGGACGGTCAAATAAAACATCAAAATGAAAACAAAACACTTATAATATCAGAGCCTACAAATAAAATAATTTACATAGAGGTAACAGTTTCGACGATCCAGTCAGTGTAGGAGGCGACCTTGGTGCTGACACCAGGGTAAACGGCGTCAGCACATCCACGGCCCCAGGAGACAATACCAACGAGGATGCCATCGTAGTAGAGGGGACCACCAGAGTCACCCTGGCAGGCGTCCTTGCCACCGACGTCAAGAAGACCAGCGCAGATCATGTTCTCAGTCACTCTTCTGGGGATGAGGAGACTAGCGTAGCGAGCGGCGCAGATTTCATGGTTGATTGTGTAGATCTGTACGTCACGGAGGACTGCTGAAGCGAGGCCGCCTTGCTGTTGAAGTTCAAATAAGGAGATGAGGGATTAAAATCATGTAGAACAAACGGTAGAGCAACTAAAGACTCTCCACAAAAACCCAATAGATCTACGATAGTATTTACTACGGTAAATTCAACTCCCGAAGAGCTGCAAAGTAGGAAAGCTTAACCTTAGGCCTTGTTTTGTCTTGGTTGCTATTACAAATATATTATTTCACATATACATTAACATCCAAACTCAAAATGACAATTTGTGGATCACACAAAGAATAACACAGAAGACGGTTGCCCAGCCACCGCGTCCGTCATGCAGTCTGCTTTTGTTGCTTAGCTTTAATTTACTACTAGTAAGAGCAGAACACCGTCTTTCCATGAATCACTCACCATGTTTGTAAAAACATTAATTGGTTACTAAAATGTTTGTTATTTGGATCTGCAGGACTTTAACTACATAAGTACTCTTCAAAAACAACTTACCGAAGTAGTACCCCATCCAGAATGTACAACAGGCAGGTTATCAGGGAGTTCAAAGCCTTGGGGTATAACTGGGACTTGTTGGATACGTTCGCTGTAAACCAGAGCTGAAGACAGCTGGATGACACTGATGTCACCATCCATCTGGTTTCTGCCATAACTGGGGTGGTTGACGATGCGGTTGATGGAGACCACGGTGCCACCAGAACCGCGGTTTGTGGTGCCGGCTCTGATACGACGGTTGCGCGTGTTAAAACTGGAAACAAATGAATATGATTTTAATGGGCTGATTGGAGAGATTTCAAATAATAAGAATTTTCCTCATCATAATCCAATTTAAGCTTATTTTTACTATAAGTAGGTATAGAAAATGGTATTAATGGTTGACGTTATTCATAATGTATCAAACACTAGGTACATTTTAAGCATTTCTTTTTAGGTATTTTTGTTATGTGATGGGACGGCAAACGAGCTAACAAAGTACCTGATTGCAAGCAAGTGCGTTGCCTTTCATTAGGGATTTTGGAGGTTTAGAGGGGAGAGGGGAACAATTGGGATCTCCGGTAACCTCTCAGATGGCGAAACACAACGCTGTGGATGTTTCGCGCCGGTTTTCTATGAGGCCGTGGTATCACTCCGGGCCAATCCATTCGTCCCACACTTTAAAGGTACTTACATTCCAGAGAAGCAGTGCGCAGCAGACACGACGAATCTGGTGTTAAGGATGCTGGCAGCACATGATTGTCCCCAGATGATGCCGGTGCGGCTCTCAATCTGAACGATGCTGGGGTAGTTCTCAATCGTGGTTGGATTTCCTCCCACGATGCGGTTGGGAGTAGCGTTGGTGCAGGCTACCGCTGGAATTAAGAAATAATTTTGTTAAGCGGGCTTTACAATTTATTCTGGGCCAGAAGTTATGAGATTTCCATTAGTCATTCTTAGCAAGAAGTAATGGACAGTTCCATAATGATCTTTTAATTTGAATAGTGGGTATCGCAAGACATACTGCACTGATAGAAAATAACGGCTTAACCAATGAGTTGAGGCTTAACCAGCAAAATTTTCCTAGTTTTACAAGTCACATTGGGACGCTAATTCATGAGCATGCGCGACGCCACGATGGGTAAGTCTTTATTTTCAATAACTCTTTTGTTTTATTTCTCGAATGCTTTGAATGCTCAAAGGAATTTTACTAAGTTATCAAAAACTATGGTAGTTACAGCAAGTTTGATGGAATTACCAAGGACCTTTTGGATAGTATAATTAGTGTTTGTAAATGCTACTAACCTGCTACCAAGAATAAAACACTCGCCAACTTCGCCATTATGTCAACCACTGCTAATGAATTAATTCACGTGAAACCGTTTTTATAATATAGTAATGTTTAGGGTTCCGTATTAGATATTTTGTTAACTTTTTGGTACAAATGGCAGCCAGTTAAGTTATTAAAATTTTCAAATTGATTGGTGTCGTGTTCGATTCCCGCATGGAACTATTCTATTCCGGTTCAACAAATTCTTGTTTTAGATCTGGGTGAGATGTGTATATGAAATAACAAGTTTGTAAACGCACCCAAGACACAATAAAAACTTAGTGTATCATAAAAAATAAATAAAAGTAAACATTTTTTCCCCAATGACAATATTTACAATTATTATGTTAATGTAGTAGTCTAAAACTATGTGGCGCCTCTATTGCCCATAGCTTGCAGATTTTACTATCTATGTCGCCAACTTGTTTTTTTGTATCATATTTGTATATGTTCCATATGTCACTAACACTATAGGATTTTGACCATTAAGGCTGCTATCGCACTTGCGTTTTACAGCGTTGACGTCAACGTCGCGTTTACTCAGCGTCGACGACGAGAAGTCGCGACGTTGACGTCTCGTCGTTGCGTGGCAAGCATTAACGTCGACTGGACGTGAAGTCAAAACAAAACCATTCGAAAAATAGACTAGAAATGGCCACAGAAGGACTAGGGGTACTATTACAATAATAACTTATGAAGTGGGAATGAAATTACGAATCTTTACTAGAGCTCCTATGTTCTGCGGAACCACCCACTTCACATAATTTAATTATGTACAACCAAAATTCAGTAGCAGATTTAATATTATATTATTGTACGGAACCATACACAACACGTATCTGGAATTCCTGTTTACATTAATTTAATCTGTATGTCAGAATTATTTACAACATGGATTATGTGATCACTAGTTTTTGTTTGTTAATTATTTTATGACTATTAATTAGAACGGATTATATTTTACGTAGATTATAATTAATAGATTAATAATTCCTAGGTTCGTTATATTAAGTAAATAAAAGTTTCTAGACTTTACTTGAAGCTATTGCAAAGATTTTCACGAAGGATTTTCTAAGGGTTTTTTTTTTGTGAGGGGAAAATCATTAAATGACTTCTCCCGCCCAGGGCCGGGCAGGAGGGAGTGTCAGACTCTTACTGACTAAAAACCCCCCGGTTCCTTCTCCTGCTCTGTGCCGAGGTCGCGGTACCTCATTGCGCTTACCCCGCAACCCCGGCTGAACATCAGCCCTTTAGGGCCCCGTCTGTGGTGGTCGAATGGCTCTTTGAGGCGCGCGCGAAAATCATCAAATGTCTTCATTCATTGCGGGCGCTACACGCAACAGTGGGCAGAGGTAGGTATTTTTATGGTTTACCTCGTAGTAAGTGATGTAAGTAAGGTGCACAATCTATACGTACATAGATAGGACACCATAAGAGTAACTAAACAGTTGCCAATATTCTTATGTATGCATTTAATATATTGGCTTCTTTTTTCTTAATGTGATAGGACGACAAACGAACAGACGGATCACCTGACGGTAAGCAATCGGCGCCGCCCATAGACACCCGTAACAAATGAGAGTTACGAGTGCGTTGCCGACCTTTTGGGGATAAGGGTTTTTAGGGAAGGATTGGGCCTCCGGTACCCTGGGTCACACGGTGAAACACAACGCTCTGGGTTCTCACACCGGTTCTATGTGAAACCGCAGTCCGATAAATTTTTGATACTTTTTTGGAAGTAATTATTTTGTTGAAGCCATGTAATTAGCTATTTTATGGATTTAACTGGAAATAGCAGCCTCATCAAATAGCAGGAATTTGTACAATATACTTACGGTTGTAATTATTCGTTTGTTATTTTTTTTATATTTCAATTCCTATCTTATTAATCTTTTTATAGGCATTTATTAAATGTTTGATAAGAAAACCTAGCATTATTTCCAATGCTAGTTCAAAGTACTTACCTACATAGTTTTGCATACTTATCATGATTTGTTTATCAAAATCTTTTATTTTTATACTAATTAAAAAAATATTCGGATTTTCCAGATTCAATTAGGGTTTAATTTTAGAAGCCATCGCGCTTAGCTAATCTTTATTTAAGAGTCTAGGTAGCTGAACTCAGTACTTACTTGAAATCACGTGACTTCGGTAACAAAGTGTAGGTATATAATATATGATATATATCTAGGCTATACATATATATGTTTTTTATGTCGGCAAACGCGCAGACGGATTACCTAATGGTGAGCAATCAGCTCCGCCCATGGAAACCCGCAACTGAGGAGTTACGAGTGCTTTGCCGACCTTTTGGGGATTAGGGTTTTGGGGATTTAGGGATTGGGTAAGGGGGATTGGGCCTCCGGTCACCTCACTTACACGACGTAACACAACGCTGTGGTTGTTTCATGCTGGTTTTCAGTGAGGCTGTGGTTTCACTCCGGTCGAGCCGACCCATTCGTGCCGAAGCATGGCACTCCCACGCTTTAAAATGTTTCATTTATACTTATGCATAATTGGCCCATGTTTTCTTTTCTTCTCGTAGTATATATTTATCTAAGAGAGTTGCGCCTACCAATTCTATTTTTCCACCACCTAAAGGTAGACTGGTATTGTTTCATTTTTAATTGTGAAAAAAGTATTATGTAAATAAACAAATAAATATCATTAATCACGACTCCTAATCATTATTTGAATGTGGTCTGTGTATGATCTGATGGAGGCACCTACTGCTCATTTGACGGTAGGCAGGCAGTCTTCTCTGATAAAACTGAACCTGAGACATACGAAATTCATTAAAAATACCGACGCATTCAAGTGAATTGAATTTAGAATAGCTATAATAGTTTTAAGTCACAGCGGGATTTTTATCATGAGTAGCATTTTCGTCTCTGCGACGTCGCCGCAACGCGCACACAGCTAATGGGAGAGAAGTCGTGGTTACGGGGTAAGCGCAATAAAGCAAGCAACGCGTCCTCGGCCTAGAGCACGAGAAGGAACGGGGGAGTTTTTTAGACTGTAAGAGTCTGACACTCCCTCTCGCCCGACCTTGGGCGAAAAAAGTCATTTGATGATTTTCCTCTCACAAAAAAGGTCATGGCAGAAGAAAGAACGGTGTGGGTTTTAGAGTCCGACATTCCTCCACGCCTTACTTAGGATGTGAGGGTCGAGACTTGTTGGATGATTTATGATATGAGATATGAGTTTGACATAATATGTCATAAAATGATAGTACCATATTATGGTACTTTCGCACGCTAAGAAATCTGCATTATTCTGTCAAGCAACAAAACATTAATTTTCAAAATTGACGCATTAATTTCAAACCATATCTTATCAAATGATGCAATAATATGAGTACTAATCCTATGTTATCACAAACAATTGCATATTATACCTGATATCTTAAAATATCCGTTTTATTAACTTTGAGGATCGTCAATTTTTGAGGATTAATTTTCTTAAATACATTATTTCGTTAACTTTTGGGTAGTTTTTGAATCTATTCAAAATATGTATCTACCTAAGTTTGATAGGGGATAATGGACAGGCCAAATCGGTCGTCGACCACGAATCGGAAGACGTAACGAGGGCAGGCCCCCTGCTAGATAAACGCGAAGAATGTTCAGTGGATCTCTCCTCACATGGAAAAGGTTTGTTCAATGAGGATTCGTGATTTGAAGTGACGTTATAGGTAGGATTTTTCCTTTAGTGTATATACTTAACCTTTCTACTTTAATTAGTTTCTAAATAAACTTAGATTGTACCCACATACAACTTACCTTATAAAACCCTTCTCGTCTTTGCCCTTATAGATGAGAGTAGATTATGAATGAATGAGAACCAAAATAAAAACAATGAATAAGTATATTGCGTCCAACGAAATAGTTATAAACAATAATATTATAAGTAATACAACTATACAAGTAAACTTGTGCTTGTGTGCTGGAGCAAATTGTTGTTCATTGTATCATTGATATCAAAGCCAATCAGGCGCAGAAGTAAATAAATAGATTCTTTGTGATACATAAGTAGTAGAATATTTGAAGTATTTTGTGATAACAGTCATAATAAACAACTATCGCCATCTATTATGTGCGTTAAAAACTAAATAAATATTTCAAGTGTTAAGACAGAGATGGCAGCACCTACTTAGCCGGACTTCTGATTATTTCTAAACTATACTAGAATTAGTTCTAGACTAAAATTATAAGTTATTTCCTAATTCATTAATTAATAGTCTCTGATTAACAACAAACCCTAGGTAATCAGTAATCAGGTCTTTATAATACAGGTTACGCCATCTTGTATCTGTTGTTGCAGTTAGCATTAAATACAACATTATGTTAATTTTAATAGTAGTATACAGATGGCGTTAGTTTCATAATGTAAAATTAATAGTAAAATATAAACAGATATTTCTGTAAATTTTCATAACAATAAATCAGTAGGTTATGTATTTTGGAGGACAATAGGCTCTCTGTGTAGTTCTAACTTTTAATTCCCCAAATAATCGGAAAATGAAGACTTGTGCTATGAAAAATGTTAGGCAAATATCTGTTGGACAGAATTCCTAAAACCAGACAAAGAAAATTTCGAAAGCTCGAAACTTTGCCAATAATTTAATTTAATTTAACCTCTCACGCCCGGCCTTAGTAGGCCATGGTGCGGAGTGAGAGGAATTGAGACGCTGTCTCCTCCTTCTGTGAAGCAGTTATGCTTGCAAAGAGGGAGGCGAACCGCGTGAGGGAGGAATCCTTCTTACGCCCCAGCCGCCCAGAGTAGAAGGGACGGGTGGTTTTAGTCAGTAAGAGTCTGTCACTGTCTCTCGCCTTACCCTGGGCAGGAGAAGTCATTTAATAATTTTCCCCTGATAAAAAAAGGTACCCAAGCCTGGTCTGGGTAGACCTGAAAAAGCAATTTGTGCATCATAAAAGTGTAGTTCCGTGCGGAAATTGAATGCGAAATACCTTGCACAGCAGCAGTAAGTTTGGGAGAGCCATGCTTCGGCACGAATGGATCGGCTCGACCAGAGTGATACCACGGCCACACAGAAAACCGGCGTGAAACAACCACAGCGTTGTGTTTCGCCGTGTGAGTCAGGTTACCGGAGGCCCAATCCTTCCCCTCCCCGGACACTTCCCCAATCCCTAAATCTCCAAATCCCTAATCCCTAAAAGGTCGGCACTCCTCCGTTGCGGGTGTCCATGGGCGGCGCTGATTGCTTACCATCAGGTAATCCGTCAGCTCGTTTGCCGGCTTATAACATAAAAAAAAGCCGGTTGCCCAGCCAATGCTGCAATCATGCAATCGTACGTTAAGGGAACTAATTTTTCTTTCTTTATGATTATACTTTCATAAGAGATACTTTCATATGATTTAGTTATTTATTCACTGTTCGGGTATTGTATTGAACAATGTGTCTGGGGGTTGCTTACCTGATGTTAAGTGATAGAAGATAATTTGGACGATTGATCCGCTTCTATTTGTATGCCTACCTCTATATATTCCATCTCATTAAAATATTATTCATTTTATATGGTATTGGTCGGCAAACGAGCAGACGGATTACCTGATGGTAAGCAATTAACGCCGCCCACGGACACCCGCAACACCAAAGGAGTTTCGAGTGCGTTGCCGGCCTTTTAGGGATAAAGGATAATATTATATGATGAGTTACTAATAATTATGATCTGCATCAACCGGAGATTGTCCTTCGCTTAATTTCCATAGTTCGTGCAAGACGTGTTTTTACGCAGGTTTTCAAGCATATTCTTAGTAAATTTTGAACATTCTTGATACCAACTTGGTTTTTTATTCATAATTCTATCAATTTTATATAACTTTTCAATCCTTCTGTCTTTTGATTGTAAACGAGTATGCTTATTTTATCTCAATAACAGTTTTTATGATTCTCAATATAATTAATTGGTAACAACACACCTGTAATTATTACTTATATATATATATACACAATTTTAATTTCAGAGACAAATTATTTTTTTAACCGTTGCCACGTGCAAGCACTATAAATAGAGTTTTCCACGAAGATTCCACAAATAAACAATAAAACCATTATGCTTAGGAACTAAATAAGAAGACAAGAAAGGCTGAGTGTGGGAGAGCCATGCTACGGCACAAATGGGCCGGATCGACCGTAATGATACCATGTAAGTACAAAGTTCTTTCCCCGTGCCAGAAAATCGGCGTGAAACAACCGCAGCGTTGTGTTTCGGGGCGGGCCAAGGCTCAATCCTTTTCGTTTCAGATCAAATAATTTCATATACCTTATTTATCCTTGTTAGGTTGGTAAACCTAGCGACGAATGCGCACATTAAATTTTTAAACAGTAAGTCGGTTGAAGAGCGGACGGATTACATGTTGGCAAGCAATCAGCGCCGCTCATAGACACTCGTCAAGCCCACCGAAAGAGTTTCTACAAGTGCGTTGCCGGGCTCTTGAGGTTTATTAGGGATTTAAGGACAAGGGATTTGAGGCTTGAGGATTGGGAGGGAAAGGATTGGGCCTCCGGCAACCTCACTCACACGGCGGAACACCGTAAGTGTTGCTTCACGCCGGTTTTCTGTGAGGACCTGGTATCAGTACGGTCGAGTCCACCCACGCGTACCGAAACAGGTCTCTCTCACACTTAATCTAAAACGGGAGCAGCCACGTAATTTAAGATTTTCCCCCTTAAAAAAAACACGTTTGAACATTATAATAAACCTAATAATTGAATCAACTCTGTTACCAAGTCAAGATATAAAACGAAAGATCTAGCCACAGGAAATTATTTTCCTTTTCTTATCATACCTAATCGTGAGGCATTTCTTATTCGTTAAACGTAATTTTAATCTTATCGCTATGATTATAAGGGTTATTATACGGATCGCGTTATCCTCTATCACATATGCACATTGTTATGAATGGAGACTTTATGTCGTACGATGCTTTACATCACTCACTAATTATGTCATTAGTTTTGTCTAATCTTTATTTTTAATTTTGTTTTTGTCGATAATATTAATTATAGTTACATTTATGGTATAAACCGAGCGTACGGACGGGCCCCTATAGGGCTGATGTTCAGCCGGGGTTGCAGGGTAAGCGCAATGACGCTGCGACCTCAGCACAGAGCAGGAGAAGGAACAGGGGGGTTTTTAGTAAGTAAGAGTCTGACACTTCTCCCTGCCCTGGGCGGGAGAAGTCATTTGATGATATTCCCCTCACAAAAAAATGGTGTAAACTCTCACTCTTAACACCAAAGGTGCAACAAGTTTGTTGCTGACCTTTTGTGAATTTAAGGATAGGAGATTTAGGAATTGAGGATTTTGAGGTATTGAGGACGGGAAGGATTGTAATACCACCTACTGGTGGTATTAAGCCTAAGTGCACCTTACCCTCATCATCATCTTCATCAGCCAATAAGTGCCCACTGCTGCGTAAAGGCACTTCTTCTCACAGGGCGAAGGTTTCAGCATTAATCACCACGCTTGCTCAAGGCGGATTGACGATTTCAAATTTATTATAAGATATTATCAGTCTAAATTTCCTCAAGATGTTTTCCTTCTTCGTTTTTGAGTGGTTTCTAAATACACTTACAAGGTACATACTTACATTAAAAATCGAAAAGCCACTTTGGTGTTTGCCAGGGTTCGCACTGAAATGCCTTCATTTATGAGAAGCGGATGCCTTAATCTTCATGCCACTAGGCGCACCTCTCACTGCCTCCTCAGAAAACAAAAGAAGTGACATTATGATTATGTTTCTGAAAATAATATCACATATTAGCAGCGTATTAGTATTTGCTAACAATTGCATTATCTGTATATGCGAACCGATGAAATGAATATTTATGTAACAGGACGAGACATAGATAGCAGGTCCTAACTAATCGTAGATATTATATTTATTGTATTTTTGTTTTCTTTTTTTTCATCGTTTAGTAGCTATGTCACCCCAAGCACACCGAGCCCAAAAATGGTCCGCGGTTAAGCTTGAAATAAGAGAAAAAATTGAGAAGTTTTTAGTACGACTCTACCCTAACAGTCCTTTTTGCACCAACCCAGGCGAAAGACAAGATTTGACGATATACCGAATAAAAAAATCGTGGGAAAATCTCATATGTATGCTTGCCGTCAAACTGGTGTAGTTCTTTATTCGAAATACCATTATGGTTCAATCCCATTACATTATTTTATGTCTGTCTAGATTTTCGAGAATTTGCTTCGGCATTTCTTCTCAGTAATAGCCAGAGAGTAGGTAATGCCGGCCTCGACACATCTTTTTAAATATAATATTGCCTATATTGCTGCTTTATAGTCTATTTATAAAAACAAATTCATTTTTTCATTGAACTTTAGATCTTATTTCTAGTAGATCGTCGCGACGATCTATGTCCAACATAAAATGCTAGTCTACGTGGACCGCGCGCCCTTCATAGAACCACCAGACGGCTAAAATCGGACTCTCTAAGGCCGATGTCAATCAAATATGTGAAACAGGTGAAAATTTGGATGGTATGAGTAGAACATCAATCGAACAAATGATGAGCTATAAAATATCGCGGGTGGGTGAAATATGAGGCACAAGAAGTATCATTAATCTTAAAATGAGTTTTTAAGTAAAACTGTAAATCGTTACTTAAGAATAAAGTGTATTCAAGTATTTATTTGAGTGTAATATGTCTTTGCATCTATAATAAAAAATAATTGAGAATGTTAAGACAATATTAAAAGACCTTATTTAAAAAAGCCGTTGTTGGAGTAGTATAAATGAAAGCATTTGAGTTGGTGTTCTGTTTGTTTTTTTTCCAACAGATATCTTTTGTTTTGCAGGTACTACAAATGCAATTATAAAATTACTGAATTTTTTTCACATTAATTAAAAGTGTATTTTTATCAATAGGTACATATAGTTGATTTAAAGTTTTTATAATCGACGCTCTATGCTTTTGGCTAGTTGTACCAATGTCGTAGTGTGTCATAAATATTATTTCATAATGATCAAATAAGAATTTGTAACATGGGTAGTTATACTCGTGAACAGCATTTTATATCAAAAAAAAAACAAAAATAATCAAAAAAAAAAAATATAAAAACAAGAAGTATTGAAAGACAAAAATATTTATTGTAAAAAAGAAATAATATTTCTAATTTAAACAGCGTTTTCGACGATCCAGTCGGAGTATGGAGACACGCCGGTGGCAACCACGGGGTAGTTTTCACCGTAAGGACTGCCGAAGGAGACGAAACCAACGAGGATATTGTTGTAGAAGATGGGGGCACCTCCGTCTCTCACTCCGAAGTGAGTACCAGTAGCAACAGCGGAGCTGACGCAGATCATGTTGTCGGTCACTTCAATGGGGAGCAGGAGAGAGCCGTACTTTTCAACGCAGGCGCTGTGGTCGACGGTGTATAGCTGGGTGCTGTACAGGTCACGGTCGGACCAGATGACATCTTGCTGTAAGACGACAAAAAAAAATATAAATACCAAAAGAATTCACGAATACATTTCTTTTTAATAACTTCTGAGTGTTATAAATGCTACTCACAGCGGTACGTCCCCAGCTAGCCAGGACAACGGGAACATTAGCAGGGAATACAAGACCGGCAGCAGTGATGCTAGCCATTTGGATGTTGGTGTCGAAGGTCAGAGAAGAACGGAGGCGGAGGATGCCGACATTGTTGTCGAAGCTTCTGAAGCTGTAGTCGGGGTGTCTGATGATGCTCTGGACAGCGAAAATTTCTCCATCACGACCACGCTCTTCAGCACCGACTCTCACACGGCTGATGCGGGGAATGAGGGCACTGGAAAGAAAATAAAGAAGATGATTATGCGGCTGAATGTTTATTTGTAAAGCCTGCTTAATAGATACTAAGTACTTTTCCAACGCGTACCGCTAAGTCGGCTACTTTTTTAACTGAAAATATGAGAACTTTTAAACTGCGATCTCTAACCCGATTGTCAGGAGCGGAGGAGGCAGACGTATCTTTTGTTTTGGAGGCATATATTCTAGCAGAAGACTAGCTCCCATTGGGTATTGACAATGATGTGGGTCTACTTACGTTCCGACGAGGCAGTGAGCAGCGGTGAGAACGTGGAAGTTGGTGATGATGGTACCAACGCAGGTCTGAAGCCATGCGCGTCCAACGCCTGTCTCAATCTGGGCTATGCTTGGGAAGTCCTCGATTTTTGCCTGGGAGGCAGAGAGGACTCCGCTGACACAGAGGCCTGGAAGAATGAACAATGTTTCTTAAGCAATCACTTTGCAAAACTTGTATTGTAAAAACCAGAAAATTACCTAACTTGAAGAAGTAAAATTAAATTTTATAATTTGAATGTTTCAACTATTTGTATTGATCATACGTTAAATGTATTTCGATTTTTAAAACTGAGAAGTTATTATTTGAATTTTGAGTTTACCTGCGGCCAGGAAGAGGGTGGCGAAGCGAGCAGACACCATTGTTGAAATACTTTTGACTTTCAAGTCTCCAATGAGCTGAGCTACTCCCAGTCGACTATTTATACCAAATTTTCAGTATTTGCTATCAACATTATCTCTTACACAATAGTGAATTTCAATTTATTTTCATTGATTATTATTGTTGTAATATTATCAATGAATTATTCCTAGATTATCGTTTGGCCAATGCAGTTCGGCATTTATAACTGTTTAAGCCCTTGTTACGTAGGTTGTTGATTTAGTTATTGTGCTGTGCCTAAAAATAGATCGAAATTAAAAACGTTAATATTGATTAAAATACTGTTTGACAAACAACGTTGAAATCTATTCAAAATTTGAGAATTAAGGTTAAGAGATTTTTTACCGGTTATAACAAGACCGTGTTATAATAGAAGCTTGTGAAGTATCGCTGCTTTGATATTTAAAAAAAACAGAAAAGCACTATGTTAATTGACCGCCGGTGTCTAGAAAAAACCAGTAAATTGCCTTCATTTATAGCGTTGTATATATATGTTAAAGTTTCACACATGCAAGTGTCAGGGATGGGATCAGCAAGTTGGAGATCTTAGCTCCTAATTGTGTACATTTTCATCTTCACCTTCATCAATCACTATCATTATAACAGACACAAGAAGTCTTCTGCAATAGTCCTACACTAACCGGGGACTGCCCTTGGGTGTATTTCCCTAGTGCATACATGGATAGTCATCGGTTTGTGTCCCGTTTCATTTAGGTCAAAGTTGTCTAAAGGGCTTTTGGCCAGGTGACTCCGGCCCCTCGTACGCCTCCCAAATGACCGAAATCCTGTGGTCCCGTGATTGGTAAGGACATACAAATAATAACATATTTATTTGCATAAAATATGGTACAAGGTTTGGTATAATATATGTTTTAGAGCTAGATACAATCCGCAATAATAAAACAGCATGCAAATGTTCAATAAGGTGCACATTTTTGTTTTATATCATTACAATACATTGGTACATAACTTTCGACATCTTTCAGTAAAATGCAGGTCACATGACAAAAAAAAAACACTATAAAGAATTAACAATTACAATGCATTCCTAAAATGGTAAGACTGAGAAGAACACTTTTTTAGGAACTCATCAACCGAATAAATACTTTCTTCTATCAACCAATTTTTTATAGTCTTGCAGAACTTCTGATAGGGCAAATCGACTATGTTCTGAGGCAGTGAGTTATAAATTAAAGGCGCCATGTACACGCAACTTCGTCTACATATCTCAAGTCGCGGAGCAGCCATTTTTAAATACGAATGAGTGACTTCGCACTTATTTGTATTGTTTTCATTTGTAAAAAAATTGATATTGAAAATGCACCGTGAAAAGTGGATACTATTTAGCTTTTTTTATTCTCCTCCTATAAGACACAAAATTCATGGTTGTATCTATTCTAGATATGCTAATAGCAGTTGCAGTCCTTTTGGAAGGCAGTGGCGACACGTGTCCCATAAAATAAAAAATGCGTTATACAGAGATCAGTTTTTGCCTTTGGTAATTAAATTTTTTCATAGATGAACGTAGTGCCTGATAACCGTTACAGTTTATTCTGTTAATGACCAAACCTGTCGCACTAACCTTAAAAGATCTGAATCGAATGTATAGAGATATATGAAGGTCATCGATTATCGCCATAAGGTCAACAAATAGGGTTCCCATACATTTTATAATTTTCTATAGCGTTAACGATATGTGTATAAACGATACTCAACTTGGGCCCAGATTCGTCAATGGAGGCATCCAGTTTATAATGAACTAGCTTTTGCCCGCGACTTTGTTCACGTGGAAAAATTACTTCCTGCAGATTTTTGGTATAAAAACTATCCTATGTCCTTTCTCGAGCTCCAAACTATGTCTGTACCAAATTTTACAGAAATCGGTTCAGAAGTTTAGGCGTGAAGAAAAGACAGACAGACAGACAGACAGACAGACAGACAGACAGACAGACAGACAGAAAGACAGACAGACAGAGTTACTTTCCCATTTATAATATTAGTTAGGATAAAGTTTCTTCTGATATTATTATTGTTTTATTATTATCGCTGCGTACTATCTTTTTTGTCTACTGCCGTAACACCTGAGGAGTCACCAGAGGAATTCTGGTACATAATTCATTAAAACCCAAGCGAACGCCGGCCATCGCGCGCCAACTGTTCTTCTATTGTGTGTTAAATATATTTTCACTTTTACTCAATTGTAATTTATTACGCTGAAATTCAAATTGTAATTTTTAGCTAAACTTTTTTTTATTAAACCATTTTTCTTGATCAAATATGATTTCTGAAACAAACCCTTATTTTTATTACCTCAGGTCTTATTTTCAAAATTACGTAATAAAAAATAACTTAATAAAAGCATTAGTGTGCCTAACGCCTACAGTTTTTTATTTTATTTTCATTCGTTTCATGATTTTAGCTTTATATTTTAGCTTTTGTATGAGGAAAAGAGAAACAAATATGACACTCGTATCAAGACTCAACCTAAAGAAGTCATTGAAAGCTCTATTTATTTTGTCATCATCATCATCATCATCATCATCGTCATCACCACCATAATATTAGATCAGACTACACAACCTATAAGTAAAAGATCTACCTTACTTAAGTTACAGATTAAACGGTATGAGGCAATCTGCATGCAGCAGTTTCCTGCGACGCTATCCATATCAATTCATCAGTCCTGCTCTGGGCAGTTCTGTATTTTCCTTTCCACTCACAGGAGCTTTGGAAGTTGTATGAGGGGCCGAAGCCAACTCGCAGAGGCCCGTTGAACAGTTTTAATCTAAATGTGACTAGTAATTGATAACTGTGGAAATACTATGGCCCCTGCCCCTGGCCCATATGGATACATACGGATAAACAGGCAGGGGGTGATTGGCAAACTCAATTAATGGACTGCCGGAAACGGCCGCTAGCATGTAGCCAGCGATACAAGAGCTACAGACGTTGAGCTGCTTGGGGAAGGAGAGGCATCCTACGGCTATAAGAGCAATCCCGGAACTACTGAGATACATCCATTCTCTTTCAACTACTACTTTGTTTCCTAAGTTTTTATATGACTTGCAATGTATGTGTGTATATGCATGTAAGGCGCTTGGGTCCAACTGGGGTACAGAACATCTCTTTGTGTGATCCACAAATTATTGTTCTGGGTCTGTATAAAATTGTATGTTTGTACCACTTACGATACATATACGAAAAATTCTTAGAGTAATGTACATTATATCCATTTCTTTTATTTATAATATCACTTTTTAATATTTTTATTTCTTTTCATTTTCCTGCTACACATTACTCATGAATGAGTTTAGTTTTAATCTTTTAATGTTAGCAATATAATATTATTATCTGCAAAAATGCAATGAGGTAAAATTTGAATTTTATAAGTACCTAATATTTTATTTATTTAAATACCACGTTTTTTTCGTGAGGGGAAAATCATCAAATGACTTTTCCCGCCCAGATTAAGGCGAGGGAGTGTCTGACTCTTACTGACTAAGAACGTTCCCCGTTCCTTCTCCTGCTCTGGGCCGAGGCCGCGGTGACTCGTTGCCTTAACTAGCAACTCCGGCTGAACATCAGGCCTATAGGGCCCCATCTGTGGTGGCATATTTGCTCTTTGAGGCGTTCGCGGAACGCTACGCGCCTTACGCTCGGGGGGTCGCGGTGCCTTATTGGACATCTTATTGGACATACCCCGCAACCCCGAGTAGAGTTATGGAATAATACAACAAAACATTCATATGAGATCATACTTTCTCAGTCAGGTTGTTGTAACGTAAGTGTGGCGCCAGTATCAAACAATGTTGCCAATGTCAGTCATGATATTATACCTTTATTTGCCATACCTGTTACTGGAAACATTTCCCCATTACAATATCCCTTCTCCCAGTTGCACAGTCTCTTTAGTGCCTTTAAAACTTAAGTCATTCTGTCCCCTGCATTAAATTTCGGAATCCTAGACCGTCATTCATGTCCCTGGGACACACCGGACTTCTGTGTTTCGGTGTTTTTATAGTTGTATATACTATAATCTATCGTAGATAGATTCAGCTTACAGGAGTTGCAGCGGCTAGGGCTTATTCCTTAAAATATAAATCAAATCAAATTATTAATTTGTTAACATAGGTGAATAAAATACAGATATTATAATGTTGTTGACACAGAGCGCTATGTTATGCCAGGAGGCGTACAAATTTAATAAGGTATGATAATCTGCATAATTGAGGAATAAAAAAATAAAATTACTAAAATTTGAAAATTTTGTACAATTATTAAATTATAAGTAATACAAAACAAATTACATGTCAGTTATTAATTACTCCAGATAAGTCAGAAAAATCAATATTACAAATATTAGAGATATACTTTGTAATAATATTACAGCTACAATGTTCCTGAGTGCTATAGCCTATAAAACATCACGCTATGATCAAATCGAACCGAGCAACGGGTGATACCGCGCGAGAGTAGCTAGTTATTGCATAAAATTGCAGTGAGTAATGATTGTAAATTGTGAATGCTACATAATAAAAAAGAAATCCAAAGGTAATTTCGAAAGTAAAAATATTTATTTATAAAACACACAAACTATATTTACAATCTGCTAGCGGTTTCAACAATCCAGTTGGTGTAAGGAGACACGGCGGTGACGACCAAAGGGAAGTCTTCGCCAATAGGACTGCCGATGGTCACGAAACCAACTTGGACACCATTGTAGAACAAAGGAGCTCCACCATCCCTGACGCCGAAGTTAGTGCCCAAAGTACCAGGTTCCCTGACACAGAACATGTTGTCGGTAACCTTAATTGAGACGGGGCTCAGGGAGGCGTATTTCTCAGCGCAAGCTTTATGATCCACAGTGTACAACAAAGAACTGTACAAGTTGCGGTCAGACCAGATGGTGTCTTGCTGTGGAATAGAAAAATATCATTAGATAACTACAATAAAGGCTACTTTTAAGTTAGGCATATATAGAGTATTACTTACAGCAGTGCGGCCCCAGTTGACTACATTAACAGGGACATTAGGAGGGAAGACGAGACCAGGGGCGGCGAAACGAGCTGGCTGGACTTTGGAATCGAAGGTAAGAGAGCCTTGGATCCGCACGAGGGCGACGTTGCCATCAAAGTGGGTGTTGCTGTACGTAGGGTGTCTGACGAAGCTTTGTACTGCGTAGACGTATCCACCACGGCCACGCTCCTCAGCACCTACTCTCACACGGCTGGTACGGGGTTCGATGGCCCTAAAAGCATCGGAGAGTCCGAGTTTTATTAAATTTATTCACAGTTACAGAATTAATCCATATTCATTTTTATTTTAATACTTTTTTGCACAAATCTTTCACAATGGTGGACTTAATGCCGAAGCCATTTTTCCAACTATCTGTGTACATACGTATTTGTTGTTTGATACTATTTATTTTGTGGAACTGAATATATAAATATGATATGTAGATTGTAGGTTATAATAATTATATATGTACAATGGTACCTACTCTTCATGGTGTTCCATTGCTGCCGGCGTGCCACAGGGTGGCGTTTTATCTCCGTTACTTTTCGCGCTGTTTATTAACTCTATCACTCAAAATCTTTCTTCTTCCTGCCACCTTTACGCGGATGATCTCCAGATCTACACTCAGTCTACTTTTGACGATTTGCCGGATGCGATTGCTTTGGTTAATCGTGACATGGCGCGTATTGCAGACTGGAGCATGAACTTTGGACTTCAAGTCAATCCCTCCAAAACCCAAGTGATTCTGGTCGGTAGTACGCGAAACATTTCCGGGATAGATTGGACTGGCCTGCCTCAGGTCTCTTTTCTTGGTACAAAAATTCCTTTCTCGCGTGAAGTTAAGAACCTGGGGATCTATATGGATAGTTCTCTCTCTTGGACTAAGCAGTTGCAGATGGTAAGTCGCAAATTATTTGCTTCAGCGGGCTCCCTGAGGCGGCTTCGTAATTTTTTACCCTCTGCCACCAAAATTACATTAGCGCAATCTCTCCTTCTGCCTATACTTGACTATGCTGATGCCAGCTATCTTGATCTTACCCAAGTACAATTGGACAAGCTAGAGCGGCTTCAAAATCTAGCAATTAGATTCATATTTGGACTGCGTAAGTATGATCACGTCTCAGAATTTCGAAATAAGCTCAAATGGCTGCCTATTCGCCTTCGCCGGAATACTCATATCCTATCCTTACTTTATAATATTCTCTTCAATCCTGCTTCCCCTTCCTACTTGAAAGAACGTTTTCAGTTTCTTGGAGACACACATTCGAGGTCCTTGAGATCATCGAGGAACCTTAAGCTGAGCATCCGTTTGCATTCGACCTCTTTCTTTGATAAATCTTTTACCATTGAAGCGGCTCGATTGTGGAATGCCCTACCGTTGGAGGTGAGGCGTGCTCAGTCGGTTTGTCAGTTTAGGAGAATGGTTAAGGAGTACTATCTGTCATTGTAGAGACTCTCTTTCTATCTCTCTCTCTCTCACACACACACACACACACACACACACACACACACACACACACACACACACACACACACACACACACACACACACACACACACACACACACACACACACACACACACACAAATATATATACTGGATACGTGTATAATATTTTATGTAATATGTATGTATATGTGTATATATTATTTGATGTATGTATATATGTGTATGAGTCTGTATGTAAGTGTATACGTTATTTATATTGTTATTTTTTTTTTTTTCTTTTTTTTTTCTCTCTCCCGTATTTATTGTGCACTAGACTGCCCATTTCCAGTTTTACTTTTTAATTTCCATCCAAAGGTTGTCTGGAAGAAATCACCGTGAGTGATAAGACCGCCCATTGTACACTCTGTGATTGTTAGCCTGCTCTTTGTATTAAATTTTAATGTTGTGTGCAATAAAGAATATATAAATAAAAATAAATAAATGGTATTATTGCTTTTTAACCGAATACAAAAAAGGAGAGTTTCTCAATTCGACCGATTTTATGTTTGATCGCAGAAAACTTAAACCAAATTAAGCTGAAAACTTACGCTCCGAGTAAGCAGTGCGCGGCAGTGAGAATATGGAGGTTTGTGATGATGGAACCAACACACGTCTGAAGCCAAGCGACTCCAGTGCCAGTTTCAAGCTGCGCCATGTTCGGAACGTCTTCAATGCTAGTTTGGGAAGCCGAGAACACCTCATTGGCGCTCAGGGCTGAAAAGAAAATCATGATAAGTTAGATTAAAATTAAAAATATTAATGTTTATGTTGCTTTCTTTTTTTGTTTGTAAGGTATGCGAACAGATGGAGAACCCGGTGGTGAGCAATCAGCGCCGATTATGGTCACTCGTAATAACTACCTTCCCGTACCTCACTCGCACGCCAAAATACAACACGGTGGTATTCTGTGAGGCCATAGTATCCTGGGGTCTAATCACGATATTCAAAGTGAGACTGTTTTAATCTTACTTCAGTGTGGGTAAGAGACAGAGCTAGACAACTTGTATAGCCCTTTCTCTTACCCACACTGATGATGTCATGTTTACCCCCCTGGTCGAGCCGATCCATTAATTCCGAAGGATGGTTCTCCAAAATGCAAATTATTTGTTGTTTGGAATTGTAATATTTATTTTAGAAGTAAAACAAATGTTTACCTGCCACCAGGAGAAGGGCGTAGATTTTGAAAGCCATGGCTTGTGTTTTCCAAGTTATCCAAGTGAATTGTATCAAACTAGTCTTCGACACGGTTATTTATACCAGTGTCTGTTGGTATAATTACTATCTTGAAGGTACCTACAATCAATTCATGTTAAGCCTATCTTGTCAGTTAATAAGGATTAGAAGGTATCTATTAATTGATGATGCCACCTGTACTAGTGGTTTGACTCATAGCCATATATTATGTTTTTTTTGTATCTAGGGTTTTTTATAAGTACCTCAATATTTTTTTGTGAAGCAAAAATCAATCCAATGATTTCTCTCGCCCATGTGAAGTCAAAGGGAGAGTCGGCCTCCTGCTGACTAAACATCCCCCTGTTCCTTTTCCTACTCTAGACTGAGGCCGAGCTACCTAGGTTTGCGTTTGCCCTGCAACCTTGGCTGAACATCGACCTTGTTGGGTCTGTCACCGTCACTAGCTGGTTGGGCGGCGTGCTTACTTTCTTGCTCGCCATTCGCAAATCAGCGTTGATTGAGACGCCGAAGATCGATCGTGGCATAGTTCCCGATGACCGAAATGTCTCCTCCTGCGTTGGCTGTTTCGGCAGGGTTACACCTGCCAAGGTAATAATATCTACAAGTATTTCAACTTCATAGAAACGGCCGAAACGCGAACTATACCTACGCGCCCGATGTCGGGACGCGCTCGGGACGCAGACAGACGCGGCTGTACCGCAGTGACGAACGGACGGTGTGTTGTCTTTTATTTAGAAATCAGCTCGAGTACATTATTTAATATGACGAATAGGAAATATTGTGCTGTTATTATGTTTGGTTGCATGAATTCGTCAATAACGCATCCAGACATAAGTTTTTTTTTTAAATTACCTGGAAACTCTGAAAGGTAAGACTATAAAATAATTTTACTTACTAGTAGCCTAGGTAGGTACATAATGTGTGTCTTTATGGATCATTATTTCCAGTTATCTCACGAAAACAGATGTTTGAATTTATAGATAATATGAATAAAGTTATTGAGACGAGTGAAATAGGTAGTTATAGGCGGTTCTGGTTCTGAATGAATCATGATACGTTAGGTACCTACCTACTTACGCTTGTGTTAAAACGGTTCATGTATGTTTTGTTAGTTTGTATTATTCAAAGTAGAGAGTGTGGTATTTTATTATTAATAATATTTGTTTATTATCTGCGTTTATGAATAATACTAGAAAATATTTAATACCAACAATAAAACAGCTAGACTCATGTAATATTTTGATGTTTGAGGGTTGTGATTTTAGAACATTCGTAGTCAGCTGTTCAGTTCGGCATTAGTGGCCAAAAGAAATTTTGTTTGTTTATTTTTAAAGCACTTTATTTGTTTATATAAAAAAAGGATATTTACAATCACAAAACTAAATGGAAACAGAAAGTAGACAAAGGTAATTAAAATACTGGAGACGAGCAGCCCTAACGCATGTTTACGTACCGCGCGGCTGTAGGTATTTATTTCTTTCAAGCGGCCGAGTTACAATAATGTATGATATTTATACTGTGCACCTGCTGTGGTCACAAGCACTGTTCGGCGATAGTACTCCGTCGATGAAGATGATTTACTTTCATCTACCCTCGATGGTAATAAGGTCCTTTATAAAGCCGCGTACACACTACACTCACTGTGTCCGGTTTTTAAGTCGATACGAAAATCGCGATGGTGAATTTTTGCAATCACTAGATTCCACGTGGCCGACAGATTGAATCCTTCTTCCCAATTGAATTTCTTGCTTCACGCACTAAGTACTATCGAGTAAAAATGGCGATCAGTGGAGAGGATTTGTTCGACGATGAAATTCGATCCAATGATTGTTCCCTGCTCCCAATACACAGTTTTTACAGCTGCGATGTGCTCTTTGAGCCTTTCAGTGATAGTCCGCTTCATTTGCCCAATATAAGAACTACCACAACAGAACTGCAACCAATCTTGTATACACCTGGTGTCTGCAACGGCACGACATCCTTCTGTATACGAGGAAGGAGTATCTTTTCATTGATAAATATTGATTATTTATCTATTTGGATATTATTTTACGTAATTATTTTTAGTGAATATTTGGAACACAAAACCTCAACAAACATCGGTCGGTGTTGCTAGTTTACTTTGAATTCTTTTATCCTTAAGTTGGGTAATATGTATAGGAAACAGTATTATATATGTATACATTTAAAAATAGGTATTTCTTTAATAATGCTTTGTTGGTCTCACTTTTTGATTGATATTTTTGTATGTGCTTTTTGACCAATAATTTAGCCGGAGAACATAGGTCATAACGAAATTATGTTACAGTTTGTCATAGTTTGATAGATATGCTACAAATTTTACGTCCATGGGATTGCTTGGTTAGCAATATTATAAGAAATTAGTGCAAAATAACGTTAACTAAAAACTTTAATTATTAAAATTTATTCACAAAAATAAATACAATTCCATATTATTTGCAATACCAATATTTTTATTTGGAAACCATTCTTTCGTAGAAGCCTTGTCTGGACAGTTACAAAGACAACAAAAAAGATTGACCTAAATAGGTGCAAAACGAGTAATACATATCGGATGTATATGTTTATTTATATTGATAGGTAGACAATGACATATTGTGGGTAATTTTGTAACTATCTGGCAACCGTAACGCACACCGAGAAAACGTGTTTTTATAGAGCTGACATACACACATGGCTGCCAAGCTTTTTTTTGCGAGGGGAATATCATCAAATGACTTCTCCTGCCCAGGGTCGGGCGGGAGGGAGTGTGAGACTCTTACTGACAAAAAACCCCCTGTTCCTTCTCCTGCTCTGGGCCGAGGTCGCGGTGCCTCATTGCGCTTACCCCGCAACCCCGGCTGAACGTCAGCCCTATAGGGCCCCGTCTGTGGTGGTCCATTGGCTCTTTGAGGCGCGCGCGGAACGCTACGCGCCGTACGTTCGGGCCTGTTTCTGGTCGGGTGGCGAGCTGCCCTTACTTGCCGATTGCAAAACCGCGCTTATGGTGGCCGGAGATCATCTCTCGATCGCCGACGCCCGGAATGTCGCCTATTGCGGCGGCTGGGGCGTGAGGAGGAGAATTGCTCCCTCACGCGGGCCGCCTCTCTTATTGCGAGCATAACTGCTTTACAGAAGGAGGAGACGACGTCCCAGTTCCTCTCATGTCTACCAAGCCGACTTCACATCTGTCTTTTGTTTTATAATCTGTGCCCTACACTGAGTTAAGCCCGATACGTTCTTGGCCGGTTTTTTTTTCCAAGTATAGGTTTTTTATTAGTTGGTTTCCCAGTTCCTCTCACTCCGCACCATAGCCAGCCAGACCAAAGGCCGGTCGCAAAAGGCCACCGCCGCCGATCACTATTCTGAGGTCAGAGCAGCCAAAGCAGGCACACCCCCACTTTATACTCCACTGTCCTGCGGGAGGTCTTCACGGTGACGATACGCGAGCGTTTTCTCCCATTGGATTCTAAACAGGGGGAATTGAGGTTGAGGGGACGCTTTGAACTTCCAGTAACCTCACACACGTGGCGAAACACGATGGAAGGCTTGTTTCTCGCCATTTTTGTGACCATGGTATCACACCGAATGATCTTGCCCTTTCATAACGGAATATGGAATATCCCACATTCATAATGTTTTTTTTTTTGTAATTTTTCCATCAAGGACAAAGTACAACTTTAAATTACACAATAATATGCTGTCGCCAAGAGATGGGGTTTTTTTTATTTATTACCAACATACAACTATTATCACAGGAGTTTCCTAATACAATAGTGTAGTAACATTATAAAGAAATACATAAATCAAAAACAATACAAAGAAACCTTACATAGGTACTGATAAAATTATATAAACTTTCCTATATTTAAACAACTTAATCTACCATGGAAGTTATTCTATATGCGGTCCGAGTGAATTCATTCATAGTGCAGTGAAACAAATCTATATGTTGCGACATGGCGTTGAGCGCACGCAGGGCGCGAGCGAGCGGCGCGTGCTGCAGCAAGCCCGTGCGCGCGCGCGGCACCCACAGCAGCAGCGGCCTACGCCGGCGCCCCACGTAACCGTTCGGCACACAACCCTACTGTGGCCAGAACTTCTGGATTGTGAATTTGCCCTCTTAATAATTTCCATAAATATACAGTGAGAGCTGGCTAGCTAGTTGACATGTCATACCTAATACAAAAAGAGTATTGTATTGTTATACAAGACTAACTCTGTTCCACGGTGCTACTTGTCTGCAGACATGGCCTTAGATCTCTCTCTTATCTGGGCTATTAAATGAAAAAGGAATTTATCAAATCTGTTTAGCAGTTCCGCAGATTAGTGCGCACAATGAAACACCTGTGCATTTTTATTACATCATCCACTTATGGCCTCGTATATAAATTGGGTTTCAATTTTTTCCAGATATTTCGTACAGAAACTTTGTCATTGAAAGGATTTTTTTTAATTTATTTATTTTTTGAATTGTCGCGTTTGGTAGACGAAATCAATTTAGTTGAAAATGTTCAAAACAAAATCTATTTTGGGCTCGAATTCGCGAATGAAATTGCGCTTGCGATCATTCAATTAACGAAGCTGTTAATTTTATACTTTTAAACTTTCACTTTGCTAAAAGTACACCTTCTTGGCCAAACTTATAATTTCTTCATTTTCATTACCAGCTTAAAAGTAACCACTGCAAAGTATAGGCTTCTTCTCACATGGAGAAGATTTCAGCAGTAATCGTCATGCCTGTTCAAGGCAGATTGGCGATTTTAAACTTATATTTAGAAAACATAAGTCCAGGTTTCCTCACGTTGTTTTTTTACCGTAAGTCCGTATGGTGTCTATATGAGCTTAGAAGGCACATATGACTCGGCAAAAGTCGCATTGGTACTAGCCAGGTTTCGAACCCCCTCCTCATGCATGAGAAGCTGGTGCCTTAACCTTTGGTCATCATCTGCGGAAGCCGCGGTGCCTTAAAGTGCTTGCCAGCAGCCAGGCAACCCCGACAGCACATTTGTTACAGGGATTAGGCCTCCGATAACCTTACTAACACAGCGAAACATTTAGTTCACATCATCAGCCTTAAATTGCCCAGCAGGGGCAACCCTAGGATTCTTGCTTTTGCTATACGGTATAAAGCTTAATCACCACGCTTGCTTAAGAAGAATTGGACATTTCAAATTTATAATTGGAATTTGTAGGTCCAGGTTTCCTAGCAAAGAGTTTACAATATTTTTTTTTATGTAATAAGTTGGTAAACGAGCAGACGGATTACCTGATAGTAAGCAATCAGCGCCGCCCATGGACGCTCGAAACGGAGGAGTTACGAGTGCGTTGCCGACCTTTTAGGGATGACGGAGTTGGAAATTTAGGGATTGGGGAAGGGTCGGGGGAGGGGAAGGATTGGGCCTCAAGTAACCCTACCCTATATTATGTCAGTGTTGTTAAAACTAATTTGGTAAATACACATGACCCAGAAAAAATCACATTGGTCCTTGCCAAATTTCGAACCTCGAAGAAGCGGGCGCCAACATTAAAAATGTAAATACCGTATAACAATTAAATGTTAATACTGGCCATAAACTTTCTGGAAAAGAACCAAGAGTGGAAAGTAACGGAAAAATTCAATAAAATCGGATCAAAAGCTGAATAAAAAAAGATACATTATCGATAAGATATAGTACGTTAGATAAGTTTTGAAGTCATAACATCGAGACAAGAGCTCGTTAATGGACTGTTCCCACCAATATTGCCCTATTAAACTAGATACGGTAAAAAATAATCAGTCAGATTAGAGAACAATAATTATCGCCGTATTATCTACAACTTTATCAGAAGTTAATTCAGAAGCACTTTCGTCTGAATAAGGATAATTCGCTCAACAACACGACGATTAGATCTAGAATGTTAAAGAAAAAAACAATAAATATATTTAGATACAGGATTATGAAATGGATTGCAGCTGCAAGAGTTAATATAGTAGATGATTGTGTTTCGCAGGTGTAATTGACGTCACCGTTTGAATAATCTTTACAAATTATAAATTAAAATCAAATTGGCGAATGTAGATGTCGGTTGAATAAAATGTCTGTCTTACTGAATTTTGGTACAGGTGGTGATACTTGTTTGTCTGTGGTTGCGGTAGATATAGAGGTTTTATGTCAAAATCTATATATATAAAAGAAAGTCGTGTTAGTTACTCCACTTATAACTCAAGAACGGCTGAACCGATTTAGCTGAAAATTGGCAGGCAGGCAGTTTAGAGCCAGGAGAAGGACATAGGATAGGGTAGAGTAGGTAGAGTAGGTTAGGTAGAGTGGGGTAGGCAGAGTAGGGTAGGTAGAGTAGGGCAGGTAGAGTAGGGTAGGTAGGGTAGGGTAGGAACAGTAGGGTAGTTAGAGTAGGGTAGGTAGAGTAGGGTAGGTAAAGTAGGGTAGGAACAGTAGGGTAGGTAGAGTAGGGTAAGTAGTCAAATGACGGGAGCGACGCCGCGGGTAAGAGCTAGTTTTGTATAAAAGAAAGTCGTAATCGTTACACTATTTATAACTCAAGAACGGCTGAAGCAATTTGTCTGAAAATTGGGCGGGAGATAGCTAAAAACTAGGAGAAGGACATGCGATAGGTTAGGATAGGTAGGGTAGGGTGGTTATGATCAAGTACGTAAGGTAGGATAGGATATACCTATATAGTGTATTTAGGTAACTAGGTAGGGATTTTGGAGGGGCTGCGGCGGAGTTGTCCCAAAAAAATGATAACTAGGTAGGGTATTGTAGGTACTCAAATGATGGGAAATAAGCTGCTTGTACAAGCTAGTTAACAATGAAATACAGAGAATTAGAAAGAACGTATATAATTCACATTCTTATCGGACAGACCTATAAACGGAAGCCTATAGACCTATAAAAAGTAAGATCTCCTGATGGTAAGCAATCGGCATCGCCCCTGGACACTGGCAATACCGAGAAGTTAAATATGCGTTGCGGGCCTTTTGAGGCTTAGAGATTTGAGGATGGAAAGATTTTGGGGTTAGGAGTGGATGCAATGAAATTATGAATGATAGAATGCCGGTTTTCTTTAAGGCCTCTGGCCCCTCTGGATGAAATAGGTAATTCAATCTTATCCTTCAGCATGTGCCTATGAAGGCACTACTTGGGACACTTAGTCAAAATTTGTTACTATGCACCTAACATTTGACGTCACAGCGAAAAGCTAGCTATAAAGTTTTATGGTTTTAAACTGATATTTTCCAATGATTACGATATCAGAGGCTAATAACTGTCAGTGGGGTAAATTTATTTAAAAAATATTAAACAGATAAAGTAATAGGATACTGCACAAATAATGTTTATAAGTGGTTTTATCCAACTGATACAAAAAGCTTATAAAAAATTACGAGGTAGATCGAAATGTTTATTTTTTCTAGAGCCTTCAATTTCTGCTTGTTTCTTTTATCAACAATGATCTCTGCGTCACCCAAGACTCGACTGGTACAAAATGCTAATGCGAAACAGGAGTGTCAGACTCTTACTAACTAAAACGCCCCCGTTCCTTCTCTTGCTCTAGGCCGAGGCCACGATGCCTTAATGTGCTTGTTCGGTAGAAAATGCCTAAGGCATTAAGACCTATGTACCAATTGTGAATAAAGTCATCATCATCATCATCAGCCCATAAGTGCCCACTGCTGAGCAAAGGCCTCTTCTCAGACGGAGGTTTGAGCATTAATCACCACGGTTGCTCAATGCGTCATTAGAAATTATAAGTCCAGGTTTCCTCACGACGTTTACCTTCACCGTATGCCAATGGTGTCTAAATAATCATAGAAAGTACATATAACTCGGAAAAAGTCACATTGGTATTTGCCAAGTTCAAACCCACACCCTCATCCATGAGAAGTGGGCTTCTTAACCTCCGGGCCGCCACAACGAATAGGTATGTGAATAAAGTATCAAATCAATAAGGTTTTAAGTTTTAATGTTTAACTTTAGAAAATACACTAGTACACTAGAAAATACATTTCTTAGATGTGTGATCCTGTGACCACCATCAAGACTTAAACGTTCTATCAAACTACATACATCTATTTTAGTCAGCCATGATATTTAACGATATTTTAATAGTAGATAAGTTTTTTGCTGTCTGGATAAAGACGTACCTAGTCTAGATCAATAAAAAATATATGACACTAACTACATTTGATCCTAGCGTGATGTTTTAGTCTATAGCACTCGGGAACATTGTAGCTAACTATCAATGAAAGAATTTTGGCAATCCGACCAGCGGCAGTGGTTCCAAAGATACGTACTTACATACAAACTTACAAAATTTACCTCTTTATAATAATAGATATAATTAGTTGGTGTAAAACATTTTCAAAAATAAAATACAAATCAACAAACTTTAAAAACGAGACAGGCTAAAAATGGCTTTCGGGGAGCCTGAAAAAGGCAGGTGAAGCGCACCACAGACATAAACGACATAAAGTCCAGACCCGGGAAAAGCATCCAATGCTTCTCTTGCACTGGTTGGGGCGGAGAATGTTAGACTTTTACTAAGGCAAACTGACAAGTACGGGACACGTCAATGAAACAAGGCATTTCAACGCAGACTGTTTATTCACTAATTATTTACAGTTACCCACAAATGTACATAACATCATCTTAAAGCTACCCACATACATAACACAAACTTAAGAGTTACACTGGAGTTCCTTGCTCGTTCTTCTCCAATCGAATCTACACTTTGGATCGAGTACCTAGCCTTACTGACGAACAGACTGACAGAATACCTATTATTCTATTCTGACGTTTCAAAAGTAGTTATTTTGGTTTAGTTGAAATAAATGATTTTGACTTTGACTTTGATTGACAAAATAATCCACCCGTCCTTCTCCTGCTCTGAGCTGGGCCAAGGCACATTTTTGCCTTTGCACCGTCAACCCCGCATTCTATCTAGAGCTTGAAGAGACATGATTTGAAATATGAGAGTACCCTTTATTACACAGATAGTGAAAAATAATTTTATAAGTAGTTCACAGGTGTCTTAGCAACTCATTACTCATTAAACATTATGAATCCATTCAATAGCTTTGTTAGTAGCAGTGACGTCACTTTTTTTAACCAATCACAAGCCGATTGCATTGGCATCGAAAGATAAGGGGCGGAGCTTATGTTGTGGTGTGATTTTATCTAACTGGTTTCGGGTTGTTTTTTTTTACAAATATATTGTTTTGTTGTTGTAGTTATACTCATATGATAAGAGGTATTTCATGGCCGGAGCTCAGAGTAGTACTTATAAGAATTTTCCTACAACAGAAGAATACAATGCACGATTTCAATTGAAGAAATAGAGATCAGGTTAAGATTGGATAGGTATTAAAATTGTGTTGGTAAGATTAGTTATACATATACCTACTAATTGGTGAAAAGTAGGTACCTATAATTGATAATTCACTAGCTTTTGCCCGCGACTCCGTTCGCGTGGAATAGTGACTCCCTGCAGAATTTTTATTTGTATATAAACTATCCTATATCCAATGTTCTTTCTCGAGTTCCAAATCTTTAAAAAATTCGACTTTTTGGAAGATTTACCCATAATTATACATGAAAAAAAAATAGTCCTGATAAATACTTTTGAATAAAATCACAAGTATTCGATTCTTTGAGATAACATAGTCTATGAAAAATTTCGTCTATCAATAATCTGTGCAATAAAATAGTATTTAATTGTGATATAGGTACTGATTTGTAGCAATAAAGATAGCTAGGTATAGTCGATGAAATAAAAACTAGTGATAGATCCAATCATTTTATCTTTTTTTAACAACCTATGACTCTACATTGTTCTCACATATGGGTACAATAATGTCAGTATACTAAATAATGTATTCATGAAACTGTAAAAACAAATATTATTATTTTTTAAAAAGAGTAACGGGTTGGAATTGGAGTTTCTTGCTCATTCTTCTCCATTCGAATCTACAGTTTGGAACGACCATTTGGCTTCACAGACGAATAGACTGACAGACTACTGTTCTATTTTGACGTTTCAAAAGTACCTATTTATGGTTTAGTTGGAATAAATGATTTTGACTTTGAAAGTAATATTTGGACATGATAGCTTTAAATTATCATCTAATTGCTTGGAGGGTTATTATATATAGAATTATTTTATGAGATGTTTTTAAGGTTCCGTATTTTTCTTAAAAAAAGGCCCACACTATGATTTTCTCCTGTGAAATGGGTGCGGTTACAAACATACAATTTCACATGTACATCAAACCCAGACCCGAAGCAACAATTTGTGGATCACACAAAGAGTTGTTCCGAGAGGGATCGAAATCGCAACACGGCGGCAGCCACCGCGCCAACCGTACAGTCAAACAGTGTACGTTTACAAAGTACTAACTTTTGACCGCGACACCGTTCGCGTGGAATAGTGACTTCCTGCAGACTTTTAGCATAGAAACTATCCTACGTCCTTTCTCGAGTTCCAAACTATGTCTGTTCCCACAGGAATCGGTTCAGTAGTTTAGGCGCAAAGAAAACACAGACAGACAGAGTTACTTACGCATTTATAATATTAGTAGGTATAGAAGTATAGATACAGATTATTAAACTTTGCCATCGAGTAACTATACTTTGCCATAATGTTTCTCGGAGGTCACTGGAGATGCATCATAGCGCAGTCCCAGCCCAGAGTAGGAAAGGAACGGGTTGATTTTTAATCAGTAAGACTGAAATTTCCTATAACCCTACCGCGGATGGAAGAAATGATTTGATGACATCCCCTGCTCAAAAATAGGTACATTTTGTATTGATTAATATAACAAACTATATTCACTTTATCGGCTTGGTTTTCATTTATTCGGTAGGTAATGTGAGCCTAACATACAATTAGACACTTTTCACCCTATTTCGGTGAAAACGGGATTAGTATATTGCGGTACAGACTAATAATTAAATTAAATAAAAAAAAAACGTTGTGTCCTTTAATAGTATTTGCCTAATCTCGATAAGAATTTATTTAAAAAATCGAAAATACCCAATTATTATACTTTTTTCATCCTGGTAATCGATGTCAAGACATTTTGTTTGGCATTGGCCGCTAGACTTAAAGACTGCTAGTTATTACGATAAGATAACATTACGTGAATTCAAGTAAACAGTAGCGCCATCTGTTGTCATTTAAAAAAACTAGTTATAGATGTGCAATCTAATATTTTAGCTTATTATAGTATGTGCTATGTTTATTTTAAAAATTCACTGTACCTAATAATATAAGGCAAAAAAAACAAACAACAAAAAGCTTTTTGTTTTTTGTAAGCTATTACAGTTTGAGAATTGGAGAATCGCAAATGGATGGGAATTATTGGGCTTCCCGTAATCTTACTTAGTAACACAGCGAAACATTACCTACTCTATTAAATAATAAAAAAAAATATCGCCTGCTAAATAAATTACGGCAACCAGTCATGTTATTGTAACTTCAATAAAAATGACGGCTTTTAATCGATGATGAAAATAAAAGAAATGGTTATTGGAATCAATGAATTTTCAGCTTACATCCAAAAGAGGAGACTCCTCGCAGATAATGTAGTAGCAGGATGTCTTCGCACCAAGACACATGGATTGGATTAAAAAACACGATCACAATACGTCTTTGTGTCACCCCTAATTATTGACAGCGCAACGAAGACAGGTACAAAACACAAACCCTTGAAATATCTCCATCGATTTTTAAATAAACCCCTTGAAATATAACTTGCATCATCAACATCGGCCTATACGTGCCTATATACTGCTGAGCTAATGCCTCTTCTCACACGGAGAAGGTTAGAGCATTAATCACCACGCTTGCTTAATGCGGATTGGCAATTTCAAATTTATAATTAGAAATTATAAAGTCCAGGTTTCCTCACGATGTTTACCTTCACCGTATGTCAGTGGTGTCTAAATAATCATAGAAAGTACCTACATATAACTTGGAAAAAGTCACATTGGTACTTGCCAGGTTTCTCCTATATTATCTCCAAAATCGCTGCAACTCCTGTAAGCCAAGATCTACAATGTAGATGCAGCCGTTTTTATGTTATAATAAGACGGCAAATGAGTCGATGGATCACCCGTTGGACAATCGGCGACACCCATGGACCCTTGCAACGTAAGAGTTGTAAGTACTTTGACGATCTTTAAAAGAGGAGATTAGGGTTTGCTGATAGGAAATTGGGTGTTTACTGATTTAGAGACTTGAGGATAGGGTTGTATAGGTATGGCAGCGGTGGGAGAATAGGCGAGATTCTCTTACTCGACGAAAAAAACGACGCGGACGCTGCTCATGAATAGGATTACCGTAGTGACTTGAAACTAGTAGTACTTTTTTCAGTTAACTCACGTGAGTAACACTGTAACACTTTTTATCAATAAAAGAAAAAAATACAGCAAAAAATATTATACAATATTATACACAAAGTAAAGTTTAAGTGCGGGAGAGCTTCGGCACGAATGGGTCAGCTCGACCGGAGTGATCCTCACAGAATACCGACATGAAACAACCACAGCGTTGTGTTTCGCCGTGTGAGTCACGTTACCGGAGGCCCAATCCTTCCCCTCCCCCGATACCTCCCAATACCTAATCCCTAAAAGGTCGGCAACGCACTCATAACTCCTCATGGGCGGCGCTGATTACTTACCATCAGATAATCCGTATGCTCGTTTGCCGATCTATTCCATAAAAAAAACACAACTTTAACAAAAAAAAAACTTTTATTCTAAAAGACTATAAGTAAGCACCTTAATCTAAATTCCAAGCAGCCTTCATAACACATCATATCTTCACAACGTCGCTGTTTCAACAATCCAGTTGGTGTAAGAAGAAATGGCAGTGCTGACGAGAGGGATGTTGTCCTCTCCGTTGGATACACCGAAGGACACAATTCCAACTGTCACTCCGGTGTAGAAAAGAGGAGCACCCTCATCCCTGGTGTCAAGGTCCCGACCCTTGGTGCTCAGGAGACCAGTGCAGATCATATTTTCTGTGATGGTGTTATTTTCTACATCCTCCAGCTCAAGGTATGTTTCTAAGCAGTCGTCGTTGGAGACTGTGTAGACATCCAGCTCGTAGAGATTGTTATCGCCTCGGTTTCCACCTTCCTGGAAGAAAAGAGTTAGCATCTTTTAGAATTTTCATTATATTGAGTAGAAACGTTAGGTTTGTAATTTTTTATTTCAGCTTCTTATCATATATATAAAAATGGATCGCAAAATGTGTTGGTAAGCGCATAACTCAACAACGCCTGGACCAATTTTGCTAATTATTTTTTTGTTTTGTTTGTTATTGTCAAGAGAAGGTTCTCAGCAAAGAAATTATTAGGAAAGTAGAGGGGAAGATTAGGAAAAAGTGACCCTTTGATAGCGATATAGTTGGACCCGTGCGAAGCGGGGGCGGGCCGCTAGTATGTATATAAAATGGATCGCAAAATGTGTTGGTAAGCGCATAACTCAACAACGCCTGGGCCAATTTTGCTAATTCTTTTTTGTTGTATTTCTTATTGTCTTATACTTATTGTCAGGAGAAGGTTTTTATCAAGGAAAATATTAGAAAAGTGGAGAGGAGTTTAGGAAAAAGTGACCCGTGAAAGTAAAAAGCGAGAGGTAGCGGATATCTTAAAAGCAAAAAAAAAATATTCTCAAAATTGTCTGGACTGACTATCGCGGTGGCTAGACAACCGGTTTCCGTGGATCGTGTCACGGGTTAGATCTTCGCACGAGACAACTCCTTTGTGTGATCCAGAAATTGTTGTTCCGGTTCTGAGGGAATGTGTATTTGACATTGTATATTTGTAAACGCACCCACGACTCAGGATAAAGGTGGGGCAAAAACAATAAATAATGAAATGCGATTAATATAGAAAACTGGGACTGCTCAGTATTGTTTTACAACTGTATCAAAGTGATTTATATAATTACTTACGCTTGTAGTACCCCAACCGACGAGCTGCAGCTGCAATCCATAAGGCAGGTAGATACCCTCGCCAAGAATGGGAGCCTGTTGGATGGTGTCACCCAAGGTCATTGAGGTTTCCAAACGGACGACGGACACATCTCCATCGTTGCCCAAAAGACCGAAGGTTGGGTGCAGGTATACCCTGGCCACTTCACGGACGATACCCTCAGATCCTCGATAGGAAGTACCAGCTCTGATGCGGCGGTTACGGTCGGTGTAGTTGCTGGAAAGGTAAAAGGATTATTTAGGCGTTTATTTTGTTATTGAGAACATTGGTTTCCTGGATATTGATACTTTTTAGATATACTCGTGTTAGAAGTTTTTATAATCCATCCTTTGTTTTGTTTTTATAATACCTGAATGGTTTTTATAAATGTAATATGTAGTAGGTAAAATGTTTCTAATGACTCATTAAAAAGATGAACGTCTGCTCCCTCAAGTGGGCCAGGAGACTATTAGAACATCATTGTATCCTAAAAGACAATAGCGCTCAAGAGAAACACATAGATGGTTTAGATCCAACTGTCGAAAATATTTATAGATCCATAAATTAATTAATTTGTTTCCCAATATTTCCATAACAATAATTATTATAGGTAATCGAATTGTTTATTTGAAAAAAATCTTCGTATTTATACTATCGCGAACCAAACTCAAGTATTGAAATCAAGGACTTACTCTTCTCAAGGAAAAACTAACAAAAGCTGAAAAAAAACGCAACCTACCTACTACGTAACATCGTCGACACATGCACGCTGCATATGAATAAAAGACCCATTGTGTCTTGAACCTTGTTTTCCACAAATTCAGAAAAACCGGTCGATACCGAAGACATACCCTACCCTACCCGACTATACTAGATCTAGAACAACATAAATTATTAAAGAAAATATATACTTACGGTCCAGAGAAGCATCTTGCCGTTGACAGAATATGGTAAGAGGTCAGCACGCTGCCAGCACAGAACTGCAGCCACAGCAGGCCAGCGCGGTTTTCCACCTGAACCAAGCTGGGGTACTCCTCAATCGAGGTTAATTTCCCCTCCTCGGCAGATGAGCAGGCAAGACCTGAAAATATTGAATTTTGGAGATTAGTGAAAGGTTGCTGATGCTATTGAGGCTGAAGGAAACCTAATGCTTTTAAATCCTTTAAACTGGGGAAGTATGGAGGAAGGGAAAGATAACACCCATTTTTTAGTCACAGAACCATGGCTTCTAGAAGCCAAAATCACTCCTAAGCTTCAATGGAGAAACCTTTCTCTTTTTCATATTAGAATATCTATCAGAAGCAAGACTATGGATATCATAATATTCCCAGAAGGTTAGTGCGTATAGGATTCTACATATACTTAGGAAAAATGTTGAGTCATGATGATTGACGATAAACTACGATACGACGATACTAAGAAACGATTATTTATTAAATTTTTTGAATACACCTCACAGAAGAATAATAAGGCAACGCTAACATTTTGTTTCGTCGTGTGAGTGAGGGTTTTCGGGTTACAATCCTCCCCCTCCCCCATTCACAATCTACAAATCTGAACCCCCAAAGGCAACGCACTTGTTAGTCTTCTTATGTTGTCCAAAGGTAGCGCTGATTGCTTACCATGACGTCTTCCGCCCTAGAGAAACATCAAAATAAAAAACCTATAAAACTGATGTATTGTTAAGTGATGTTTCTTTCTTCTTCTTCTTTCGAAAATCCAGTACCAAACCAGTGAGGTTTTAAGAGAAAAACACCAGTTAACATCTCAGGATATCAAAATAACTTCAAGCTTTTAAACGTTTTATATATTTAATTAATTTACCTGCAATTAACAGAACAGCTACAGCCAGCACCGCCATCTTGCCGTACCAAAAATGTAACGTAATCATTCACTAACACACTTTATATTATATACTTATCATAAACTTAGTTAATCACTATTGTGTACATATCCAATCCAATGATTTATAATTCGCAAATTTATATTGATATGGTTGTAACATAGTTATGGGGTCTGTTTATTGAATTAATTGCACTTTTAAGTGTGGAACCAGAGCATTGTCTTTTATTATTTGAATGAGAGGTTGCCTACCCCCAAAACGCCGGCAATGCCCTCGTAACTCCTGTGGTGTTGCGGGTCTCCACTGACTGCTATGAAGCTTGTCGAAGATTCCAGCTTGTTATTTTTCTTCGATCCACACATACATTGTTTTTATAAAACGATCTTACTTATTACCTGGTGGAAGGCAATTAGCAATACCTATGGACACCCGCAACACCAAAGGAGTTACAAGTGCGTTGCTGGCCTTTTGTGGATTAGGGTTTCGGATGCTAAAGGCTTGGGAAGGAATGGGCCTCCGGCAACGTCACTCACAAGACGAAACAAAACGCCATGGTATTACTCCGGTCGAGCCCAGCCATTGGTGCCGAAGTTTGGCTCTCCATACTTAGACAGACAAAAAACGACGGCGTGTAATGTGTACCTATGTAAACTTGTTTATTTTGAATCGCTCCTACATCAACGCTTAAAAGAAATCACAAAACATCAAAGAAAAAGAAAAACACAAAAGGCTCTTAGGAATGACAAAAAGTATGTAGACGATACATGGGACAGACTTTATCATCATATATCCCTGGTAAACATTTTAACTAATTTAATCTCTCGCTTGAATTGAGAGTTTTCCTTGAGATAAAAGAATTGGTGCTTTAAATTTTAACCCATCGCTAGACAATGCTATCCTTGTCGAATTATACTATAATTATGTAAAAAAGGGTCGTAATTTTTTACTTTTATGAATATTAACACATCTACACTCTCCCGGCATATCCTTTTCACACATACACAGAGTAAGTGGGGACTTACTCTTACAGTTTGTAAATACACACATAACAACTACACAACAAGCATTACTTTGTAGGCGAAAGTTTCAGATAATACAATAAAAGGACTTTAATTTTATTTTTTAATCTTTTCAAAACTTGACTTTACTATTGAAATATTTCTTTTTAAATTTTTTCTCGCAATCATGGTTAAGTAAAACTTCAGATTAATTTAATTGCAAGATCCAACTCGGTCAATTAATTTTCCTCAATAATATGTCGCCTTTAATTTAATTTTGTTGATATTTTCAATAGAAGCCGATTACTTACTATAAAATATAACATAATAAAATGCATAAAATAAGGTTACAAAATGAGTATAAACGTTATGAAAAAATATTAAATTTTCTTGAAATTATTCTTTTTCAATTTTCGCTACCGATTTTTTATTGAACTGAGGAACTCTAAAACGTAAGTACTTACTTCATGATTTGATAAGAATTGAGTAAACTGCCTCCCAATTGATGATTATCATGCTCTTGGGTGCTTGCACTGATAAAATAATCAGTAATTAATATCTACAATAACAATCGAAGAGTTTCATGGTATGCACGTGAAATTCATAAGGTAAGTTGCTAACCTGTGAATAGGCTAAAAGTATGGGTATTGAAATTTTAGAAATATATTTACAGGAAAGTTTAATACCAGTATATTAATGAACTAGCTAGTCCCGCGTGGTTTCACTCGCTGCTCGAATCCATTTGATTGTAGCGTGATGTTTTATAGCCTATAGCACTCAGAAACATTGTAGCTAGTGCATAGTGCATAGAACATCAGTGAAAGAATTTTGGCAATCCGACCAGCGGTTCCAAAGATTCCCCCCTACATATAAACTTACAAACATACAAACTTACAATTTTCACCTCTTTATAATATTAGTATGGATAATGATTCTTCAAAGCCTTAGACAGCGAATTGTTGTGAGGAAGTCGTGATTTTCAACAAGATCTTGTATGTCCCAAGACAGTCGTTATAGAAAAGAAATTACTTTAAGCTAACAACAACAAACCTATGTTTCTTTGTATAATAGATTATGAGGATTTTTTTACTGGACCTCTATTTATAAATTTATACAAACAAAATTGTCCCACTAATAACCTACTGCATATCAAAATTAATAACTTTACCTACCTTATTAGATAAACAATTAAACATGTTGTACCAAAAAAAATAAAAAAAAAAATTCCGACATCATGTACTAAAAAAATTAAAAAATTTTTTTTTTAGTACATTGTAGCGGCACTATCACGTCGCTACATTACTTAGATACGATAGAGATAAGACATACATGTTAATTGTTGCACGTTTGTTAGGATAGCTAAATCTGAAAATCTCACGCATCTTCTTAGTATATAAGCACCAGCCGACAGTACGATTCGTTACTTGCTGACACAAGTAATCAGTCCATTTAAATACTCACCGTATTTTGAAAATACCATCATATACCGTCAGTATCTACGAGAGAACAATGGGCAACCAAAGCTCCAAAGATCAAATCGTATATAACTCCGACAGTTGCCTTAATCAAAATGAAGCCGACCATCTCAAAAGTCTTGTCCTGGAAGAGCTACGGTGGACGAGAAACATTGCAATTGGACAAATCCTCATCACAATTGGCATCCTTCTTCTCTACGGAATACTGAAGACCTTAGACAGAAGAGTGAAAACAATAGCAAGAAACAATCAGCACAAATGCAGTGGATAGTTCATCGACTGCCGCCGCCGTCACAACAAAGGCAGCAGTTTTTATTTCCTTCGAATTAGCAACAATGACATTACATTACGCATAGGATGTAATTTATCAGCAAGGTTAAGTTATTATATAATTAGGTACATACTAATTTTTTTCAATTTATATGTTGATTATTTTTAAAAGGGGGGAGTATATGTAGCGGCACTATCACGTCGCTACATTACTTAGATACGATAGAGATAAGACATACATGTTAATTGTTGCACGTTTGTTAGGATAGCTAAATCTGAAAATCTCACGCATCTTCTTAGTATATAAGCACCAGCAATTAAAGTAATAAACAGACCTTAACCATCTACAGTCTCATTATTTACCTTGCCACGAAGTCTGGCAAATACATCATGTACTTACTAAAAAAATATTTGGATACATTTTTATCTCATTTAAATCAAAAATGTAGCTGAATCTACACCATATAAAAATACGCATTTGAAACAATATAACTTACTTTAAAACAAAAACACTGGTTTGTTGCTGGTACAAAATCTTCAATATCTTTTACAACAACGTTATTTTAGATTAGGTTAGAGAAAAGAAAAAAAGAGATTTACTTTAGTTAACAGAAAGTCATTTAATAAAAGAATTAAGTTTAAAAGATAGAAAAGGCAATTGATTTATTTGATGAGTAAATATTGTGTTCAAATCAGTTTTTTGATGGTAATTTCGTATTTATTTTAATTGAAAAAAGGGAATTTACAGTAAAGTAATAAATAGCACCCATATTTGGAACAATAATTCTTAATAAACATCAATCAATTAGCTTTATTTGGAACATACTGACATTATATAAAGAACCTTGAAAGAAAAACCTCCATAATTCAGCAGAACAACTCATTCGTTTTCAGCAAAATTTATTTGCTTAAGGTACATACTTCTTATTCGCCCACAATCTTCTAATTATTTCATCAAAATTTCCCGTTTTAATGCTTTTAAATAACATGTCGGTTCGGTTATTTTCTACTAGATGTCGCCACTGTCGTTTTTTGCTAACAGGAGAAATTGAAATCTATCCACTCTTTTATAGCTTTCCAATCCAAAAAAAACGTCATCATCGGGCTGATTCCGCCCACTGCTGGACAGAGGCCTCCCCAATTGCACGCCACTTTTTTTTTGTAAGGGGAAAATCATCAAATGACTTCTCCCGCCCAGGGCCGGGCGGGAGGGAGTGTCAGACTCTTACTGACTAAACACCCCCCTGTTCCTTCTCCTGCTCTGGGCCGAGGTCGCGGTGCCTCATTGCGCTTACCCCGCAACCCCACGCCACTGAGCTCGATGTTCAGCTCTTCACGTCCAACTACTGCCAGCCACCCCGAAGACATCGTCAGTCCACCTAGCTGGAGGGCGCCTTACACTACGTTTGCCTAGACGTGGTCTCCACTCTAGAACACGTTTACCCCAACAGTCATCGGTTCTTCGAAAAATGTGACCTGCCCACTGCCACTTTAGTTTGCTAATCGTTTAGGCTATGTCGACTACTTTTTTTATTGTAATAGGTCGGAAAACGAGCAGACGGATTACCTGATAGTAAGTAAACAGCACCACCCATGGACACCCGCAACGGAGGAATTACGAGTGCGTTTCCGACCTTTTAGGGATACCTAAGGGGTTTTGGAGATTTAGGGATTGGGAGGGATCGGGGGAGGGGAAGGATTGGGCCTCCGGTAACCTCACTTACACGGCGAAACACAACTGTGTGGTTGTTTCAGGTCGGTATTCTGTGAGGCCGTAGTAAGTATCACTCCGGTCGACCCGACCCATTCGTGCCGCAGCTTGGCTCTCCACATTTTGGTTCTCTGTCGGATCACCTCGTTTCGAATACGTTCCTTCTGAGAGACTCCAAGCATAGTCCTTTCCATAGCTTGATGCTCCAGAAAAACGTAAGTAGTTGTTAATTAGGATATCCACAGAAGTACTTCCCTGTTATAATTTATATATGTTTCTAGCAAGATTACAACAAAACATTGAGATAACAACAAGGTATTTAGCTACCGTATCATGTTCGATTATTTTATCGTATCTTTATATTGTTTATTAGTGACAATAAATTAATAAACTTAGTTTGGTTTTTACCGTCATCACACATGTTATAAAACAATTTAAGATAAATATTACATGATTGACAATTTTTAATAAACACGATTAACACGCACAGAACATAATTATTATTTAGTCACACTAAGTATAATAAAATTATAAAGGAGAAGCTAATTCTTACAAAATAAATTAAGGAAGTGAGCGTCGCAAGGAAGGTTGGAGAAGGGAGGAAGCCAAGGAATTAATTTTTATTCGACAATGGTGATTTGGAAGCTGAAGAAACTGAACACGGCAGCAGTTTCGCCGAAAAACCTAAACTTACAAATCATTAGGTATACTCCCGGGTTGTTAAGCATCTTAGTAACTTATTATTCGATATTTTTTATCGATTGCTTGTAAGCAGTGGTGCTATTTAATTTAATAAAATCATTATTTGCGTTTAAACTGGCAGAATTGTTAATTTTGGATTGAGTACCTAGGTCTGTATATCTGTATGAGAGAGAGAAGATCCGTGTGAGAGAAGAAAAATATCATTACTTTAAGAAAGAAAGGACAATTGAGAGTGATGTGTAAAATACATATAATAACGGGTCTTACCTTATAAATTGCTATTTGAAATCAAAATATGTTTGGGTTGTAATTCTAATTCCAAATTAATGTTCTTAAATAAAACCATGTTATATTTTTTATTCTATAATGGCATTTTGGATGATGGAGATCAATAGTTCTCCCTCCTTCTCCCTAAAGAGGCCTTACTCAGCGGTGTGCACTTATAGACTAAATTGGAATTTGAATTTAAATGTGATTCCAAACTATTTACTATATTACTCGCTCTTTAATGCAACACGGTTTTAAGTGCATCATGACATAACATAGTGTCATGGTTGTTTTTTACCAAATCTGAAAGTTACGGCGATAAAATATAGTTTTGATAACCGCCATCTCAGTAAAAATATCGGAATTAATATTGTTAGTATGTCGACTTCTTTTGTCAGCTTCTAATCTGTTCGACTTATTACCGCTAGATGTCACTATTCGCAATTACCGCTATTGAGTATACCATTTTAATTAATTTAGAATAATTTGGTTCTGTATATAATATTTTTTGGTTTTAAGTAACATTATTATTACACGTTAAGCGCGATGGGGGTCCTCCGTTAGCGGATTTGTGTTCAACAGTTTTCTGTCGGCAGTCAAAGGCTTAAATATTACTTAGTTACTGATAATTGATAATTACTATTATTTAATGATAAATTTATGGAAGCAAAGCACAATCATGAAGTTTTCTTAGTCAGATCATATGATAAAAATATTGCTTATATTAAAAGAGTTGATCTTTTGTTTTGTTGAGTTACTTTAAACGACAAAATAACACAATATCACTATATATCACTCTCATTGTATTCCTTAAATTAAAACACACAAAAATCATTAAAACCGAACATTTATTCTGATCTTATACTCTAGATAAGGAAACCTCTTAAACAGCAGCATCAATAATCCAATTGGTGTATGAAGCAACGCGCGTGCTGACAACGGGTAAGGAGTTGATACCACAGCCTTCAGCCCAGGACAGGATACCGACTAGGATATCATCATAGTACAAAGGACCTCCAAAGTCTCCCTGGCAGGCGTCTCCAGCATTTTGCTCCAGAAGACTGGAGCAGATCATGTTATCAGTGACAACTCGAGGGATGGACAGAGATCCATACTCTTTTTGGCAGACTTCGGTATCCAATATTTCTACTTTTGCCTCCATAAGCTGGGGTGAAGCTAAGCCTCCGGCCTGTAATAAGAGAATTAATATTAAATGTGGACGATTGTGGACATTCAACTGGATCTGATACAGTAAATAATCTAAGTCGTGAAAATAATAACGAAGAGGACATAAAAATGACATTGGTAGGGCCGAAAGCATTCGGCACGAATGGTGGAGTTATACCACGGCCTCTCTCTCAGAGAAAACTTACGTAAAATGTCGGTGTGTGAGACTACTACTTAGGGTCCAATCCTTCGATTATCCCTTCCTTCCCTTATCCCTTAATCCAAAAAATGCATTTTTGCTTTAATTATGCATTTTTGGGATACCTGTGACTCCTTTGGTGCTGCAGCTGTACATGGGCGGCGCCGATCACTTACCATCAGGTGATCCGTCTGCTCGTTTGCCTCCATTCCACAAAAAAATACTTGTGGGGTACGTAAAAACTGACAACCCACTTCAAGCTCTTCTGATCTTTGTGTCAATGGACGGCGCTGATTGCTTACCATTAGGTAATCCGTTTGCTCATTTGCCGTCGTATGACGTAAAAACTGATATCGCTTGATGTAGCTCAATTCTCCAGACTCAACCTTAACTTGAATAGTTTCTTTAAAACAAAAAATGCCTTTGGTATAGTTATCTACAATGTAAATTCCAGAAACAATAGTTAAACAATAAAGCCAACTTTACCTCGGTAGCGCCCCAACCAGCAAGCACAACAGGCAAGCGGTAAGGAAGATCAAATCCATGAATAATTATAGGACCCTGTTGCACAACTGGACTGTACACCAGTGATGTGAGAAGCCGGACTACGGAGATGTCACCGTCCATGTCGTTGGCACCATACGTTGGGTGGTTGATCTCCACATCAACGTAGGCAACGATGCCACCAGTATTGCGTTCTGAAGAACCAGCCCTGATCCGCCGGTTCTTGGGGTCGTAGAAGCTGGAAGTAGGAAGTTAATTTTAGGTGGATATTGTAATAAAACTCGTCGTATAATACAAAATAATCCTTTAATGTTCAGGTTACAAGACTAATCTCCCTTATATCTCTTGCCGCCAAACCGTATATCCATCCACTCCCTTTTTTTTTTTTTTCCCGCCCTCTCGTCCCGGTTCCACAGACAACCCTCACCTCACTCGTTCACTCGTTCCCGCTCATTTTTATTATTTCAAAAGATCGATACAAAAATCGATTATTGAAATAGTCGATTTTTGTATTGTATAACGTAATTAATACTAGGAACCTTACAATATGTTCCCAACAAAGACTAGAGAAAGGTAAAAGATAAATATTGTTTTCCTATACCGCCATTTGGCTACTTCGAATCTCATATTTCTGTCTATGTTTTATCCTGGAGTAGCCAACTATGTATATATAGGTACATTGAAGGTTGATAGATACAATAGGTGTATCCGAAAAAACCCGTTATTTCAAAATGTTCGACGTTGGTAGTCTTTTTTGGAAAATTCTTTGTCAATTTCATAGCATGAGTGTCTTACAGATAGCTAAGCTTTAGTATTGATAATAATTCTTAAAAATAACTTACATTCCATGGAAGCAGTGAGCAGCAGAGAGTATATAACGAGCAGTTAGGATGTGTCCTCCACAAGATTGCGACCAGATACCGGAGGCTGTGCCCAGAAACTCAACTTGGACGATAGCAGGGAATTTTTCAACCGATGCCTCTGTGCCTCCCGAGATACGCGTAGCCGGGGATGAACAGGCGAAGCCTGAAATTTAAAAGAGTTGTATCACAATTTATGACTATTTTAAGTTAAAACTTGTAAGTTTTTATCTGGGCAGTAATCTTTAAAACTGCTGGTCGGATTTCCAAAATTCTTTCACTGATTGATAGTTCCAATGTTCTTGAGTTCTATATGCCACTTTATACCATTTTGGTGTTGTCCCTAGTTAACTGTTCGATAAAGCTACATTCTACTATCAATACTTTTCTTTTTTCTTCTGTTTCTTCTTAATTTATTTCAACCCTATTTGAATTAGTTTGTAAGCAACGCACTGATTTACCTTTTTCGTTTTATCGTTTAGAAAAAGTAACTAACCGATGATCTCTGTGCTATTAGTATTTACTTCGTCATTGTTTTCGGAATTAAATCGTAATGAATGACTAGTTTAAGTAGTCATTATATATCTCTGAGTACGGCAATTAATTGTGATACATCTTTTTGTCGGTACAAATTTTTGGGAAAAACTTAAAGCACTAAATATAAAAATGATCTAATAAATACCTGCAAACAGAAGGAGAGCCAGTACGGTCAGCGTTGCCATGTTGAAGTCTACTGCGTCTTCATAACTTTCGACGCATAATTTATAACATGATAACTCCATTATAAAAAAATATAAAGATTATTCAAATCCATAGTCAATAAGACACTGTAAAAATACTGATACTATAGATAAATTTATTTATGTTTAACTAGATTCTGGAAATTTTGTAATATAATAATGTACGTGTGGGTCCGTTTTTTATTTACAATAAACCGGGCGTACTCTGTCCCTCCTGGTGAATGTGACATCCTACGAAGGAGCGTGTCTGCCCATAAGCAATCTATTCACTCAGACCCTGAAGGTACCCCGGTCATAGAACCTTTGTCAAGAAACACAGTCTTCGGCAAAAATAATACCTCATTAGATTTTATTTTAAGATTCCTTTAACCTAATAAATTGACTTCAAAATCTTGAGTTTTAATAATATGTTAACTTTTTTTGTCCGATTTAGATCTACGCTTTAGTTTTTAAGTGAAACTTTTACAATATATTCAATATATAACAATATTTCGTTATTTTGTTATGATTAAAAGTTAAAAGGCAAACAAGCGAACGGAACACCTGATGATGATAGATCAGCTCCGCACATGGACGACCGCAACACCACTGGAGTTACAGGTGCGTTGCCGGACTTTCAGGAAGGCGATTTCTATTTTATACAGTGACAGACTGCAAAATAAAATAATATGCTTAATTTAGAAAAATAAACAGTGCATACGTCTGAAATCCTATACTCGATTTTTTAATGTTTAAAGGTCCGGTTCGGAAATACCGCCGCGAAAGATCATTCCAAAGTTTTCAATATGATAATCTTGAATTTTATCACATACTTTCAGCTTGGCGCTCAAAGCAATTGATAACGAACTCCTTGTAAGTTTTGAAAGCAAATATATCATATTGTACGAAACCATACGACGGTGGTTTTGGTCTTGGAGAAATGAAAGAATGTCTCGCGCTCCCGAATAACTGTATTTATTTTAATTTTACAAGTTATCGTGCTAACAATTACTAACTAATTCTCACTAAATTATTAAAATCAAAAAACACGTAGTATTTTTTATCTAACAACAAAATAAATAAATACTTGTTAATCATTTTTTGTCGTGGTGGCCTGCAATTTAAGGAGCCCGCTTCTCATGCATGAGGGTGTGGGTTCGAAACCTGGCAAGTGACTTTTTCCGAGTTATAAGTACTTTCTATGATTATTTAGACACCATTGACATACGGTGAAGGCAAACATCGTGAGGAAATCTGGACTTATAATATCTAATTATAAGTTTGATATCGCCAACTCGCATTGAGCAAGCGTAGTGATTAATGCTCTAACCTTCTCCGTATGAGAAGAGGCGTTTGTTCAGCAGTGGGCAGTATAGGCTGATGATGATGATGATGATCATCATCATTTTTAGCGGTAGGTCTTGTGCACTGTTTGATAGGTGTTTTTTTTTATTATTATCTATAAACCATTGAACTGCTTTTTTAAGAGACGTGCGTAGTTCTTTTTCAAAGTTTTCTTTTCTGTTGCTTTTGACTATTCTTTATTGTCGCGTTATCGGCGAAAAGTCTCGTCCTTATTTATTGCGTCAGAAAAAATCGTTAATATAAAGAAAATAAGTGGGAATAGTATACTCCCATGAGGTCTACCATAACGTTCTGTTAGTTATGTTTCACTTTGTTAAAATTACATTGGTGGTCCAATGTAATTTTATGTAATGAGTAGTCAAGTATCGTTGTAGTGTTTTATTCAAGTATTGTTGTAATAGTTTAATGTTATGTCAAATATCTCATAATATCCCCGTAACATAACGATATGGCTAATATGGCTAGTTTTGCAATCCTCAATAGATAACTTTACAATGAAGTATTTTATCGGTTATAGTTAAAGTGTGTTAACACGTTGAACGCCATGGGAAACAACACATGGGGCACGCTAAAGAAAGATTGGCCCTTAACAGTGATTTGTCGGTAGTCAACAACTTCAGATACCTATTACTGAGGAATCAAGGAGGGTAGGAAAACCATTAAATGTCTCAAATACTTAATTTAATTGATATTATTTAATTGGCTTATATTTTATGATATAAAATGATATTATATAAATCAATGAAATGAAAGTATATACATGCATAGGTCTGTTTAGTTTTTAAGCAACATTTTCCGACACCCACAAATAAATTCAGGTGATATGGACCTGAGTCACATTGTAGGAACAAGTAAACTTAAAAACAAACACTATCATAAATTAATCTTCAATTTAGTTAACAGATGCAGCGATCCAGTCAGTGTAGGAGCTCACAGCAGTGCTGATTCCGGGGAAGGTCTCGTTAGCACAGCCATGACCCCAAGAGACGACACCGACGAGAATGTTGGTGTAGTAGAGAGGACCACCAGAGTCACCCTGGCAGGCGTCCTTGCCACCAACGTCAAGAATACCAGCGCAGATCATGTTCTCAGTAACAGTCGCTGGAGGGTCCAAGGTCATGTAGCGAGCAGCACACAGCTCATTATTGATAGTAAATATCGTGGTCTCCAAAAGCACGGGAGACGCAGCTCCACCTTGCTGAAAAACAAAAATATACATTGTATATAACATCAAGTTTCACCATAAAATAGAAAAGAAACAAAAAAGCAAAAATATAATTATTACTATTATCAACACAACAAAAATTAAACAAAGGATTGAAATTAAGGTTAAAAAACACTCTTTCCAAAATAGTCTTTTGTGTCTTTCGTCATTCGAGTTTTATCTAAACTTTCATTTAGCATTATTTTTGGCACAGTTTACTAAATGTTTTGAAGTTTGAAGAGGATGTTTCTCAAAAATATATAAACGGTTAATCTCCCTAATTGCCAGTGATAGCATCGTTCAAAATGTTAATTAGAAAGGTAAAACTTACTTCAATCCTACCCCATCCAGCGTGGACGACGGGCAAGTTGTCGGGTATTTTGAATCCTTGGGAGACAATGGCAGCTTGTTGGACGACGGGGCTGTATTCCAAGGGATCGAGCAGGCGAACTACTGAGATATCACCATCATTACCATTCAAACCGTAGCTAGGGTGGTTGAACTCAACGTCCACGTAAGACACAATACCCCCGGTGTTACGGTAGGAAGATCCAGCCCTGATACGACGGTAGCTTGGCCTGTATAAGCTGAAAAATAAAATAAAGACCGCTTTTAAATGTTTGTCTTAAGGTAATCAAAGTAAAATTATTTACTTTAAAACAAAAAAAAAATATATTTGGTTAAAGAAACGTTGTCCCTCACCAGGATTTTCTCCTGTAACGTGGGTGCGTTTACAAACCTACACTTTCTCATACACACCACATCCAGACCCGGAACAACAATTTGTGGTTCACGCAAAAAGCTGTATTGTGCGAGAATCGAAACCACGACACGTTGCGCGGCAGCCAGTTTCCCAGCCACATTGGGGCCAAATATTAACTCCCTTGAGAAACTCTAGATAATAGCTAATACTATAGATACTCACAGGCCACGGAAACAGTGTGCAGCAGACAGGACGTATCTGGTTGTCAAGATGTTGGCAGCGCAAGACTGACTCCAGACCCCAGAAAGGACGCCGTAGTTTTCAACCGCGACGATTGAGGGGAACTTTTCGATGGAGGTCTCAGTTCCACCCACGATACGAGAAGACTGAGGGGCGGAGAATGCCGCACCTGGAAATAAATAATAAACGATCTGAGAGAACATGATCTCCGGCCACCGTAAGCGCGGGTCTGCGGACGGCGAGTAAGGGTAGCTCGCTGCTCGACCAGAACCAGACCCGAACGTATGGCGCGCAGCGTTTCGCGCGCGCTTCAAAGAGCCAATAGACCACCACAGACGGGGCCCTATAGGGCTGATGTTCAGCCGGGGTCGCGGGATAAGCGCAATAAGGCACCGCGACCTCGGCCCAGAGCAGGAGAAGGAACGGAGGGGGCGGGGTTTAGTCAGTAAGAATGTGGGAGAGCCAAGCTTCGGCACGAATGGGTCGACTCGACCGGAGTGATACCACGGCCTCACAGAAAACCGGCGTGAAACAACCACAGCGTTTTGTTTCGCCGTGTGAGTGAGTTTCCTTCCCGGACCCTTCCCCAATCCCTAAATCTCCAAATCCCTAATCCCTAAAAGGTCGGCAACGCACTCGTAACTCCTTCGTTGCGGGTGTCCATGGGCGGCGCTGATTCGTAACCATCAGGTAATCCGTCAGCTCGTTTGCCGACCGATTACATAAAAAAAAGATTCAGACACTCCCTCCCGCCCCACCCTGGGCGGGAGAAGTCATTTGATGATTTTCACCTCTCAAAAAAAAAAGCAGTGCTTAAGGCAAAATACTTTTTATTACACAGATCGTAAGGTGCATACCATCTTGTACATGAAGGTTTCACAAAAGTTTAAACTGAAGACTTAAAAGGATACATATTTTACTAATTACCTGCAAAAAGGGCGATAGTCAGAAGAGCCAGTACTGCCATATTCGTGCTTGAATTGAAGACTGTCCAAAATCCAACCCCGACTTATTTTTATATGAGCCCCATTAGAATTCCCCACAAATATGATTAAGATTAACTAATCTCCCCTTCCTACTATTCTGAAATGTAATAAATAATCGTGATAATAATATTATTCACTGTTTTAGTGTCAGATTATAATAACGAATTTCCCCACAGATAAAGTCATAGTTCTATAGGGATTTATACTTTTAAGTAATCACTTCAGTATTAACAAAACCTTCGGTGCTACAATATTAGTCAAATTCAATTTTGTAAAATCTACGCTTGGCGTTTCCATTGACTCAATTATTCTTTGCATTGCGTCTGAAAGATTGGCTCCTGTGCATCTCATCGCGTCCGGTTTCATCTTCTGTGGGTGTTAATGAGTTTTCCTTTAATTAATATGCCCGATCGTTTCCAAAGTTAGGAGATTTCTTGTGCAAAGTCGTGAAGTTAACTTTATTTTTTCAAACTTCTATTAAGGTAATTTAATTGAAAATCTCAAAAATTAAAGTCAAGCCAAAAATATTTTTTTACATATTTAAAAGTAAAACTGACCCTGTCGTTTGTTTAAAAGAGTAAATTAATTTATAAATGAAAATGTACAAAAGATAGATAATAATGAAATGGTCAAGGAGTTATATCATCTGCTGTCTTCCAGTTTCAGACCCAAATGACTTACCCGTTCACGATATGGATACCCAATTCAAACATCTTGCAGGGAATCAAACGACCTGAATCTGTGCTATCGCCAAAATCGAACAATAGGTCTAAAACGCAGAAGTAATGACATTCTGTGGGTCGTACCCGGGCTTCGAGCAGGAGAAGAAATGGGGTGGTTTATAATAGAAGTCATTGGATCAGTGGTCAGCCAGTCACAAAGGGCTGCTGTCAAAAAGTAAGTCGTTATTTTGAATATATTCAGTTTGCCATATCGCCGCAGTCAAGAACAGACAGAACAACAAATCAGCGATAGCAGAACACCTGTTCCAGGCTGGTTCCAATCACTGGATAGAATTCCACCGAGCACAAATTCTCTCCACTGATCGCCACTACCATACAAGACTTCTGCGTAAAGCGGTTGAAATTAAGAAATGCCCAAATAATTTCAATCGGGATGAGGGCTTTAAATTGTCGTCGACGTGGAATCCAGTGATTCGCAAAACATAACTTCGCTTTCTTTCAAAGTCGGTTAACACATCTGTGGATACGGTCAGCGTAGTGTGTAGACGGCCTTATATGGGAGAAAATGAAAATAAGGGGGTGAAAATAAGATGAAGATTCATCGCCCGAATGCAGGGAACTGTGACATCGCATCTTCAGTCTGCTTGTAACCATGACCTGTGCAACCAGGTCGAAACGTCAAGCCTACCAAGGTATTTAAATAATTATTTTCCGCGTTATATGTTGTAAATATTTAGTTTGTCTCACGATGGTTGCTATTCATAAACCTAAAAAATAAATTTTGGGATTTGGACATAGGGATTGGATTGGGGGCTGGACCTCTGGTAACCGGCCTGCTGTCTGTAAGGAGTCGGGGACTCGCATGGTGAAACACAATGCTGTAATTATTTTACGCAGGATTTTTGTGAGGCATGGCACTCCCACACTTAATAACGGAATATTTTTAATGTGATAGGATTTACGAGCAGGTTGATTACCTGATGGTAAGCAATCAACGCCGCCCAAATACACCCGGTACAATAAAGTGGTTACAAGTGCATTTCCAGCCTTTTGGGGTTTATAATTTTGGGCATTTAGGCATTTGGGGAGGGGAAGGATTGAGCCTCCGGAAATCTCACTTGTTTCACTTAATAATTTATTATATTCATTGTAAAAATCATCTTTGAATCTAGGAAACTTTTATCAAAAAACGATTTGAAAAATTAAAGCAAATAATTTTTATGTGAAAGGACGGGGAACCAGCGAGCGTTGAGACTGTTTTTTGCTTAACGTTTCGTTACGTGCGCGTTAAATCCTGTTAAACACTAAAGTTTTAAAATGCAACGCAATACTTTAAATTGTAATAGTTATGTTTGTTTCTATAGATGTGACCAGACATGAATATTTTTCCCGTTACACTTGTGCGACCCAAACTAGGATATAGTAGGGGATCCCATGAAGGGATTGCGGTAGTTACTCGAGCGCGTCAGATTAATGTGTGGGGATTATAAAGTATCCTGTGGAATTTACCTACCATATACTTAATGTAAGTAGATGGTAAAGTAATAAAAAAATTTTTAACAAAAGAAAAAGTATTTTGCAAATCGGTCCAGGCGGCTTCGATTAATCGGTGAACATACTTAAAAAAATACGCATCGAATTGAGAACCTCCTTTCTTGAAGTCAGTTAAAAAGCAATTTCACAAAATTCAGCCAGTTTGGTCATATTTAGCGTAGGTATACAAGTTGACTTTGTGCTAAAAAAATGTGTTTAAAAAGGCCGATTTCATCGTGATTTACAACAGTGTTAGGGTTTTGAACGGATCCCGTTTCTACGCCCTCAGTTGGCCAACCCCACCATGAATTAGTCAGACTAAATCCTTTAATTATCAGAGATACACGGGGTACATCTACATACAAAATATCAATGCCACTTTTCGTTGTAATGTTAATAACTCAACAACAACTTTACCGATTTGGCTAATCTTGAATTATTTATAGAAGTCCAAAAAAAGGTTTATGCGTAGAGAAATAAAAAAAATCGTGGAAAAGTGTAAAATCCACATCCACGCGGGCGGAGGCGCGGGCGACCGCTAGTACACTATTAATATCTGTTACGCTGGAGCACTAAAACAAAAGTAGTATTTAATAATTTTAGAGAACTATCAATACACCCAGTCCCCCGCCGAAGTAAGAAATGTCACTGAACCATTTTTTGGTTTTATTCCATATTCTCAAAATCTAATTAGGAAAGCACATGAAGAATCACTCTGTGCAGGAATGCACAGATATTCCGCCTAGCCATCGCACTAACTGCACAATGACGTTGTCATTATTTATGGATGTAAAATTAAACATTAATAACGATTCTGGCTGATTAACCTCCGCTTCTATATTTTAAGCAGCGATCATTTTTATTAATTTCACTACCCTGTGAGGGAGACTCATATTGATTAAAACAATCCCGTTACAACTCCTGCTTCATTGCATAAAGTCTAATGGACCCTGCCTGTGGTGGACGGTTCTAGAGGCACGCGCAAATAGCAACACTCCATATTAACCTGGAGAATATACCTGCCATATACTTAATGCGAATATATGGGGCACGTTAATGTCAAAAACAACCTAACTAAATTCAGCCAGTTTCGTCAAATTGAGGGTATACAAGTTGAAATTATGCAAATATGCATTTAAAAATGTGCCGATTTCATCGTGGCCGTTTCTACGCTCTCAATTGGTCAATCCCTCCATGCAATTAGTAAGATTAATATTATTTCAATATCAAAAATACACTGGGCACGTACACTATAAATAAGTATTTAACTTTCGCTCGCCGATCGCAAAACTACACGTGAATATCAGGGCACTTACAAATTCTTAACATTTTTTAATAGTTTGTTATTTCCCGTACTTAAGTTTTACTTATAGATTATGTTCATCAAGTACTTTTATCATAAAGTGAGACAAATTGACCTTGGGCTTTACTTTCAAATGATATTAAGTACAGTTAACAGCAATTATTTGTGCAGACGGATTACCTGATGGTAAGTAATCAGCGCCGCCCATGGACACCCACAACGGAGGAGTTACGAGTGCGTTGCCGACCTTTTAGGGATTAGGGATTTGGAGATTTAGGGATTGGGAGTGGGGAAGGATTGGGCCTCCGGTAACCTCACTCACACGGCGAAACACAACGCTGTGGTTGTTTCACGCCGGTTTTCTGTGAGGCCGTGCTATCACTCCGGTCGAGCCGACCCATTCGTAAATTATGTTAAACTGTAATTAATTATAGTCTATGTATCTCTGACAGTGACATAACAAGAAAGAAAGTGTAGTTTCGAAACCTGTTAAGTACCAATGGTACATTTTTCGAGTTATATGTTCTTTCTTAGATTACAAAGATACCACTGATTACGGTGTAGCAAAACATCGTGAGGAAACCTAGTTTGAAATTATCTGTATGCATTGAGCAAACGTGAAAATAAGCAATACTCATGTTTTTGTGCAGTAGGAGCACCAATCATTTTTGAAAACTTATCTTGAAATGGATTCGGACATTAAAAAGGCATCCAAAAATTCCACTAACCATACAAAACGCCATGTTGTTTTTCGTCACTGAGTTTTGTTTACCTATCTTTATTTTGTACAAGCTACTTTCGCGTGGTTTCACCGCTGCTCAGATCCATTTGATGGTAGCGTGATGTTTTATAGCTTATAGCACTCAGGAACATTGTAGCTATCTATCAGTAAAAAAATTTTAAGGGGGCTACATACGAACTTACAAATTTTACCTCATTATAATATTAGTATAGACTTGTGCTCAAAGTTTCAAATTGTTTGAATTAGTGATAGCTCGAGCATCAACTTATGCTTCAAAATGTGACCTACATAAATATTGGTCATAATATTTGACGGAGGTAGTTCCTAAATACTTACAACGAAGGATAAATCAAGAAAATGCCTTGAAAATCTTTTAAACACTTAATTTATTGAGTAAAAGATACGCCTTAAATTTAGTAGACATTAGCCGCGATCCAGTTAGTGTAGGAGCTCACAGCAGTGCTGATTCCGGGGAAGGTCTCGTTAGCACAGCCATGACCCCAAGAGACGACACCGATGAGGATGTTTGTGTAGTAGAGAGGACCACCAGAGTCACCCTGGCAGGCGTCCTTGCCACCAATGTCAGGAATACCAGCGCAGATCATGTTCTCAGTAACAACCTGAGGTCTGGGTAGAGTCTGGTAGCGAGCAGCGCAGAGCTCATTGTTGATGGTGAAGATTGTGGTCTCCAAGAGTATGGGAGACAAAGGTCCTCCTTGCTAGAAACAGAAATGAAAAGGAAATAATGTAACGCCGTGAATATGTAAGAATGATGGGATTAGCTATTCACATTTCAGGTACGTGTAATAAAGGACACAATTCTACATTCGCCGATAAGGTAGATATGCCTAACAAATCGTAATACAATCTTTATTAACACGATTCAATATAACAACCTTTATCAATATGCTTTAGTAATTTCTAAATTAAATCGAATATTCCTTTCGGTTTGTTTGACGAAGCTAGTTTCAAAAGGAAAGAACAGTATGAATTAAAAAAAAACCTTAATTTTATCAAGTAATTCGTGTTGTAAAACTTCAGATTAATGATTAATTTATTAAGATAATGAACGTAAAACGGAAAATGGCAAGGCCTAGCTTACCGAGATAGCACCCCAACCAGCGTGGACGACAGGTAAGTTGTCTGGCATCTTGAATCCATGGGTGACAAGGGCGGCCTGTTGGATGACGGGGCTGTATTCCAAGGGAGTGAGCAGGCGAACTACTGAGATATCACCATCATAGCCGTTCAAACCATAGCTAGGGTGGTTGAACTCAACGTCCACGTAAGACAAAATACCCCCGGTGTTACGGTAGGAAGATCCAGCCCTGATACGACGGTAGCTTGGATTGTAGAAGCTGAAAAATAAAACCTTATATACTTGTGCTCAAAGTCTCAAATTGTTTATTTTTATTGTTAAGACTTACATGCCATCAAAACAGTGTGCAGCAGACAGAACAAAACGAGCAGTCACAATATTGGCGGCGCAAGACTGGCCCCAGACACCAGTCCAGACTCCGAGGAATTCAACCGCTACCATGGCGGGGAACTTTTCGATAGACGTCTCAGTTCCACCCACGATACGGGAAGCCTGAGGGGCGGAGTAGGCCGCACCTGGAGTTAAAGAAAATTTTAACGTCAACTAACTTCTTAATGACACTTAGAATAATTGCTCCTTCTTATAAAAGAAATGTTTTGTCGTGTTTTGAGAAAGATTTAAATACTGACAAATTATTTAAAGTTTTAAGATTTATCTAAACGGACTCAACATATTTTTCCTCATATTTGTTTAGAATTGATCACTTCCATAATTTGAAGTTTACTTATTGATGTGTTTTTTTATTATTAGTGCAATGCTTTTGTATAAAACATTGTCTCGCGCGAAATGAATTTGTGAACATCTTATACTTTAATAGAATTATTCTTTTCTAGAAACTTTACAATTGAACACGTAACAGTTGGATGCAAAGTTCACTAAGTGACCTAAAGCTACACTAGCGCCTCTAGCGGACGCAAAAACTTTTGCAAAATTGTATACTGATAGACTTTACCTGCTAAGAGGGCGACGGTGAGGAGAGCCAGCACTGCCATGTTTGTGTTTGAATCGAAGACTACCGTAAGACTAATCCTTGCCCATATTTATATTAAACCTATCAAATCCCCAATAAAAATTATTTAGATTAACCTTATCTACCGTGCCACCTATACAACATTTAAGATTACAAAAAGAGCTCTTTTTACCTAACCTACCGACATTATTAGGTACACGACATTGTTGACGAACAGTGCTAGCATTAGCAGAATTTTAAAGCTGAAGAAAAGGTTAGGTATTGGGATTTTTGGTTTTTTAGCATCATGTGTATGAGAAAAAGTAATGAAATATTAATTCCTTCTATGTCCAAATTTGACGAAAGTGGCGATCTATTAACCACAGAAACACCCCTTTTAATAATTAGCATTTAATCTTTAGTTTTGTAAATGGTATGTTAGGATTTCACTGTTACTGATTTGTCAAGTATATTTCTATAGTATTATTATTATAATTGACGTGCAATCGGAAATCCTCTCTTAATCTGATAATTACATAATCATTGAAGTGCGTTCGGATTCGAAATACATCCTTAAGTCTTACGATAATGTAGGTGTTCATTAATGATATTAATGCATAGTAACACAATCCCTTTTCTTAACCAGTCACTCTTGACTTTTGACTTTAGTGTTCGCTAGGAGGGACAGGATAACTTCTCGAAGTCTCTCTCGCTATAACTTGAAGCGAGAGAAATGAATAGCTAGCGAATACACAACGTTCACGTTAGAGTTCTCAATGTGACCTAAAGCTTCACTAGCGCCGCTACACACCGAAATCATTTTGATTTTGCTAAAACTAATACAATGAGCAAAGCTGACACTACTACTCTTGTGTTTGTATCGACGCCTACTTTAAGACTAATCTTGACCTATATTTATATTCAACTTGTCAAATCGCTTATAAAATTGATTGAGATTAGCTTATCAGTCATGCCATCTACACATATACATATACATAGAAAAAGAGCAAATTCCGTAATGTCTAATGACTTCGCACGCTGTACCACGCAAAAGAGAGCGTGGTAAGGTGGGCTTCACTGCGATCTCATGCCGAAATAGAAACAACAACTGTCTGAACCGAGGGCCAGGGATCCTGCTATAGCACCAGCAAGATCCCTCTTTGAGGAGTAGCTAGAGTCGAGCCACAACATCCTCACCTTCTTCCTGACACATATCTCCATTCATAAAGTTTCGGGACGTATACGGTTTGGGTTTAAGGGGAGGAATCGTCCGGATGTCGACACAAGTAGGGCTACCCGGAGGACACGGTAGAGTGCGTGTACCATGCTTGGCTCGAACATTGCTGGGTCCTCACCTCAGAGAGGTTGTAACTAAGCATGTCCCTGTAATGTTCAGTATACCTAAATTCTGATGGAGAATATATTATCGCTAAAGAAAAGATGTAATAAATTATAGGTGTACTTATACATTGCTTACTGATGTGGGGACAACCAATGGAAGGAAGCTCTACCTACTAATCGTGGATTCACACAATGGGTTTTAACCGCAGCGACATCGCCATCATGTAAACAGTAAGCAATCAAAATTAATATTTTAACTTGATTACTATTTTTGAAATATATCCAGAAAAGTATGTTATCTTAATCTAAGCTAATATAAGTATAGTAGTAACTCTGTCTATCTGTCTGTCTGTCTTTACTTAACGCCTAAACTACTGAACATTGTTTGAATTTGGTAAGTAAGTTTACTAAACGGTCATTAATATGAAAACACGTAATTGCCACATTTATGTGTAAACGTTATATTATATTTAATTTAAATGCAAACCTCGCAATTTTCTCATTTTTACTAGCATGTTGCATGAATTAAAAACCTCATAGTTACCATTTTACAACATAAATTCCTTATTAACAACTAAACTGGTTCTAGGCACACACATCATTCTATTAAGAAATATCACAAGAAGATCGAGTACAATAAAACCAAAGATGCACCGAATAAATTATTTATTAGGTAAATACAAACAATGACACAATGATAGATACATTACACGGCTACAGAAGCAATCCAATTAGTATAAGCAGCGACAGACGCGTAGACCCCGGGAAAATCGGGATGACCGCACTGATGACCCCAAATGGCAATACCAATGACTATATGTCCGTAATAGAGGGGTCCTCCATAGTCCCCAGTACAGGTATCCCTGCCAGTAACTCCTAAGGCCCCGGCACAGAGCATGGTCTCAGTAACGTTAGGTCTTAAGTTTAGGGTTCTGTAGCGTTCAGCGCACAGCCGTCGATCCACCGTGGTCACCGTAGTTTCTTGAAGAACGTTTGAATAATCACCGTAGTACTGTAAAAGACGTTTCAATTTTAATAATAAATATATAAACTAAATCATATTTGGGATGCTTTCGAAATTTCTTTAACGAGATCAAAAAACAAACCATTTATCAAAATTTATAAATAACGGAGACATTGGTGAACATACATAAATATACGGTCGAATTGAGAATCTCTCTCATTTTTTGAAGTCGGTTAAAAAGAAGACATAAATAATAAAGTAGACATTAAATAATTAATATATCTATCTATCAATTTTTTTTTTAAGATTTAGACATGAATAAGGATATAGGGACAGAGAAAGCGACTTTGTTTTATACTATGTAGCGAAAAATGAAGGGAAAGCCTCAGAACAGGAACATTTCATGATTTATTTATTGGTTAGTAAGTAGCAATAATAGAACAGTAAATATTCTTAGAACAGAATCAAATGACAAATTGATCACATTTTCAAAAGGTTCATTATAAAACTAAATTTTATTAATTTAAGTAGTAAGTAATTTAAATTTGGAAAAGCCAAGCTTTGGCAGGAATGGGTCGGATCGACCGGAGTGTTACCTGGACCTCACAGAGAACCGGCGTGAAACATCCATAGCGTTGTGTTTCGGCGTGTGAGTCCTTAAATATCCGAAACACTTATCGTCACTCCTTTGGTGTAGCAGGTGTCCATGGGCGGCGCCGATGGCTAAACATCAGGGCCTCGAGTCTGCTATTACAATAGTGTCAGAATAGTTGATCGTTGTTGATCGTTGTTTGGTTTTTGGTAATCTACTAACACAATAGCGTCAGTACGACTTTCCAATGCCACTTCATTGAAATAATTCTTTAGAACGATAATCTCGTATATCATGACAAATTTTACTTATATATACTATATACGTAAATTAATAAAAAAATGACAGTTTCTTTATTCAATGATTTACGTTTAGAATATTAATGTGCAGTTATTGTTTATAATTCGTTACAAGACATCTCATACCACATACTATAATTATATTACGACATCGCCGAACGCCAATGATCAGCCATTTTGAATTAACAGATTAAGAACTTTTAGCAAAATGACAATGGAATCGTGTAGGAATGACAACACTTTAAAAATAGTAGACTCGGGCCCCTGGTAATTCGTCTGCTAGTTTGCCGACCTACACCTTAAAAAAAAATATACTTACTGCAGTATGACCCCATCCGGCAACCTTCACAGGTATATTATCAGGAAATACAAATCCATTAGCAACGATTGTTGCCGGCTGGATTACTGGACTGTATCCTATCCGGGTCGAGAGTCGGACAACAGATATATCGGAGGAAGTATTATAGAGGCTATAGTATGGGTGGTTGATCTCTTTTTCTACGTAGTACACAACACCAGACGCATTGCGATAAGAGGATCCAGCTCTGATGCGACGATTTTTTGGGGAATACCATCTGAAAATAATAAGTCACCCTTTATTGAAAATTTAATAACGACTCCTTACGTTAATTAGCTAAGGAAAGCTCTACTAGTTTCAAATCATCAGGGGACTCTTATTTAAGTCTCTCTTCGTCGCAGGCAACATTTATTGAGTCGCCTATGTAACATTATTTATGAATAAGAGTCCCTCTTGTATGTTGAAAGTAATAGAGCGTTTTTATGGAGTAGTAGATCGGCAAACGAGCAGACGGATAACCTGATGGTAAGCAATCAGCGCCGCCCATGGACACCCGCAACAGAGGAGTTACGAGTGCGTTGCCGACCTTTTGGGCGTTAGAGAATTTGGAGATTTTGGGATTGGGGGTGGGAAAGAAGTTAATTCTGGTTCGTAATTAAACACGAAAGATCAGGTCGATTGCCAAGACAGTGGTAAACAATTGGAGCTGTCTTATGTGTGTGTACTCCAGAACAACACCATAAGAGTGAAAGTGTGGTAACAGTGTTTTAAACTCGAATACTACTAGTAGCATTAACTAATTATATTCAACTCATCCCGCGACAGTGCCAGCAAAAGCAAAATAATGAGAGCTCTACTAATTTCAAGTCACATCACCATCATCATCATCATCAGCCTATAAGTGCCCACTGCTGAGCAAAGGCCTCTTCTCACACGGAGAAGATTAGAGCAAAGGTTCTTCTCAATGCGGGTTGGCGATTTCAAACTTATAATTTAGAATTTATAAGTCCAGATTTCCTCACGATGTTTTTGTTGTTCTTTGCCTTCACCGTATGTCAGTGGTGTCTAAATAATCATAGAAAGTACTTATAACTCGGAAAAAGTCACTTGGTACTTGTCAGGTTTCGAACCCACATCCTCATGCATGAGAAGCGGGATCCTTAACCTCCGGCCCGACATAGTCATTCAAGTCGCAACGGGACTCTTATTAAGTCTGTCGTCACAGTCAACTTCGACGCAGCTTTGTATATTTGAGTTGGATTTTAGATTTGTAAAAGGTATGCTTGTTTCAAATTGATTGAAGCCTATTTCTAATTGTAGTGCAGTTCATTTTTGAATAAATCTGATACTGAACTGTACTATATTATCGTTAAAGTTAAAGGCTTTCTTTTCAACAAAATTAAAATATGAAGATGAGAATTTCTAGAATATTACTTACGGGCCAAAAAAGCATTGAGCAGCAGACAGCACATATCTAGGATTCAAAATAGTACCAGCACAGGATTGCCACCAAACCCCATTCCAAAGGTTTCGCCTCTCGACTGCCACGAGGGAGGGGTAACTGTCAATGGTAGTTTCACTCCCTCCAACGATGCGAGTAACGCGTTTGGGGACAACAGTTCCTATAATGAAAAGCGTTTCAATGGTAAATGCTTTCTTTTATGCTATAGGTCGGCAAACAAGCAAACGGATTACCTGATGGTAAGCAATCAGCGCCGCCCATGGACACCCGCAACGACGGAGGAGTTACGAGTGCGTTGCCGACCTTTTTTTAGTCAGTTCGTTTGCCAAATAATCACATAAAAAACTCTGTAGGTACATTGAAGATAACCTTGAACCTGGCAGACTATCCGGAATTGGTTAAGTCAGTATCGAGTCAAACAACTAGTTTTTTTTTATTTGAGCAATGAGTTTTAATTATTTGTTTCATTATAATTAAAATTCATAAAATTCTGGCCCCATGATTATTGTTAAATATTTAATCTACATCGTCACCTAAGCCATGGTCGTAAATGATAAATACGGATATTAATTAAGCCCACGCTTCATTGATCTTTGATTAAACAGTATGTTATAATGGATAGATAAAATAATTAAGTTTTGGACTAGTTAGTAGTTACGGTCAGAAGTTTTTCCTTACCTACAGATTTCAGAACTTATAAAACGTTTTTTTTTTATAAAAGAGTAGCGATGGAGTTTCTTACTCGTTCTTCTCCGTTCGAATCTACACTTTTGAAAGATCACCTAGTCTCACAGACGAACAGACTGACAGACTTATTCCATTTTGACGTTTCAAAAGTACTTCTTTATAGTTCAGTTGGAATAAAATGATTTAACTTTGATTTTGACTCTCGTGGATTTTTTTATGATGGACACTACAATTTATCAATTACTAGCTTTTGCCCGCGACCTTGTTCACGTGGAATATTTTCCTTTCTCGATTTCCAAAGTATGTCAGTACCAAATTTCACACAAATAGGTTCAGTAGTTTAGGCGTGAAGAAAAGACTGACAGACAGACAGACGGAGTTTTTGTCGCATTTATAATATTAGTTTGGATAAGAAGTCAAAGAATTAATTCATAGGAATCAATTTAGATGATAACATTTCTTCTTTTGTTTTCTTTTTTAAAGCTGTACGTTATTGCGTATTCATAAATTCTCTTAGATACATACATTATTATGACCAAATTATTTTCCAGAACTGACTACAGCCAAAGAAGTAGGCAATGCTCGAAATGGCGAAACCCAGCCATACTGTATTTCATCGTATGTCAGAATTGATGTATACATCAGAATTTTATTCAAATTGGTTTACATTATCGATAACTTCCAATTATGACTTCATAGATAACGTGTAGTACAAAAATCACATTGTTATCATTTTATTTGATAACAGTGTTTTGTTAATTGTCAATACAGGTATAGGAATTATAATGTTCCTTCTTTTTTACTGAACTAAAGTCTTAACAGTTAATTAATAATTACTTATCTCTCGGCATTAGTTTACTGATTTTGCGTACATGTTTAAGGCTTCAACATTATAATAACCTAACGCTTGCCCGCGACTCCGTTCGCGTGGAATAGTGACTTACTGCAGATTTTGGGATAAAAACTATGCTATGTCCTTTCTCGAGTTCCAAACTATGTCTGTATCAAATTTCACAGAAATCGGTTCAGTAGTTTAGGCGTGAAGAAAAGACCGACAGACAGGCAGAGTTACTTTCGCTTTTTTAATATTATTTGAAGATTTGGATTGGATTTGGATATTTGGATTGGATCACACTCTAGCTCAAACTATGAATACTATGTCATACTACATAATCTATGGCACTAAAATATGGCGCGTTACTTTATAAAAATATGACAATCGATAATAACAAAATGGATGGACATTGGTCAACAAACGAAATAAAACCGCACCAGTAAAAATGAATGACAATTTAGAACTATACTCACCTGCCAATAAAGCGATGATTAGGATCTTAAATAAAGCCATTCTTAAAGAGTTATTTTCACTTCAAAATACACATAGTACACAATAAAAGTTATGCTTTATAAATTGTCAATGTTTGAGATCGTTCACTTTACAAGTTCATCGGCACAGATTAGGAATATAATCACAGTGTCGTTGCCGGATCGATTTTCATGAAAAACCCGATTGCTTTTATCTTATAGATCGTATCTGTTATTAGTTGATTCATTTGTATATTTATTTTTGCTGCCATTTTTGTTAATCGTCTCTCTAGTTAAGTGTATGAAGGGTTTTGTAATTACTGTAATCCGAAAAAAGGATGATAGTGTGAAGTCATCCTTTTAAAAAGTTCTCAACGACGAGCTGAGTATTTATAAGTCGGCAACCGAACAGACGGATTACCTGATGGTAAGCCATCGGCACCGCCCATCGACACTCATAAGATCACAGAGTTACGAGTGCGTTATCGGCCTTGGAACGCCTTATAGGATCGGGAAGGGATGGGAGAAGGGGGAGGGATTGCACCTCCGGTAACCTCACTCACATAAACCGGAAAATTTGAAACATTTTAGTATCATCAAAAGTAACAACAAATTGCTTACGGGATACAGGTTATAAAATGATAAAGAAAGATAGATATATATATAATCATACCTATAGATAATTACTGATTATTAATCATTACTGATATCAACTTCTAACTGACACATCGTCATTGGAGTTACTCAAAACATTTGTTTAATAGTTATGTAAGTTAAATGTTATTATCCAATAGAGATGCACCTACCACTCCTATGTCTCCACCACCCAAAGGTGGACTGTCAGAAAACACCTTTTTTTGTCAGGGTAAAATCCTCAATCATCATTTATATTCCACACTCTTCTCCATATATAACCAAGTGCATCCATCATATTAACGTATCGTCAATCGGTTACGAGTAAGGGACACTAAAATTGGCGCGTGAGTCGGATGCGTACGCGCATCTATTTGTGCCCACTGATTCAGTGTACGCCCGACTTTATAATTAGATGTACCTATGTACCGGCCGATTTATGGACGCCAGTCACAACAAATTACTTCTTAAGTTTAATTTTAGGAGTATTTTGGTATTCATTGATCCTTTTTCTCTTGATCCTGTAGGATCAAATCCTACTTATATTAAGTAGTATGTTTGTTAAGATTATAGTCTGGAATAACAATGAATCTAATTTACACCTAGATAACGCGGGCGAGAACTAGTGTTTTATATAGTTTATAGCACAATAAAAGCGAAGAATTAATGGATAGAAACAGTCGTCCCATTCAGAATTAAGAATTACAAAAAAGAATAATTTTATTAATACAATCCTTATCCTAATAATAGATACCTAGACTGTTTTATGATTCGTTTACTTTTGACTTTATATAGAAAAAAGACAATAAATTTGAAATTCGAATTACCAGATGTTACACTTCGAAATTGTTAGCGCCAAAAAAAAATCAATGTTGCCAGCCACGCCACACATATTTCTACCGACGACCTTATAACCTGGGAGGAATGGTTGGAATGTCCAGTAATATCTTCAAACACATTCCTTGGTGATGCATGGTAAGCTGGAGCTATGTGTTACCTGTCCCATTAGTTAGTTCATAAATAGTGCAGCTCAGACCTAATGTCTTATTGACGGTCAGACGGAAATATGGCGACAATTAGTCATGGACTCCTAGTATTTTAGCTAGTTATGTTTGATCTTAATATTTGTTAGTTATCTGTGCATTTTATGTCACAAACTGGTATGTTAGTTGGGGAATAGTTTGGCTTTTTTTAATTCGATATCGTCTGCCAATACTCGTAAGTGCCCTCGGTAGCGAAGGTTTCTTATACGGAGAAAGTTTGAGCATTCACCACTATGCTTGCTCAAAGCAGATTGGCGATTTCAAACTTATAATTAGAACCTATACCTATACCTTATTAACAGGCACTGAAAATCACTGCTCCTCAAGCATGAGGACTCCTAAAATTGAAGCCACCACGACATTTTTTAATTTGTCTTTCTTATTTTTAGTCAAAGCTGAACGAAACAATATAAATATTACGGATTCGATTCACTTTCTGACGAATAATCAGTACTATAATTTTCAATTAGCAAATAAGAATTCTTAACTGTAAGACTGGGAAATGGCTAAACATTCGAAAAACTGTAAAAAATAGACTTATTGGACGACCCCGTTACACATTACAAAGAATCTTTTCTTTTTTATGAAGTTTTTATTCCATGTAGGTGAGGTTTATTTCGTTATTGTGTAATCGTTTCTGCTAGGGTAAAAATCCTATGTGTCTATTATTTATTATAATAATCAATCTGTGTGCCAAATTACCTACACATCCATTCAGTAGCGTTTACGAAAAGAGAACAAATATCCATCCAAGTAAGTAAGTCCAAGAATACTTCGAAACGTTCGTTCGCGTTAAAAATATTAATAAGTACAATTTAAACTGAAAACTTGCTAATAAGGATAATCTACATATTTATATTACCTGACTTTAAACTAATACAGCATAATACGATAAGGATTCTTATAGTACATTCAAAATTGTAGTAATCTTGTATTTAAGTTATCATTATAGATACTCTACTACTGTTATGTCTTCATATCGCTGCAATAAAAAATATCAAGGAAGGTAATAAAATTGTCATTCTGTTTAAAACTACTAGAATTTTCGTAATACTAAGCCATACATTCATTACTAATCTTTTAAATGTACAAGAAGTGCTTTGGCACGAATTAGTCGACTCGACCAGAGCGATACTACGACCTCACAGAATACCGATTTAAAAGAGCGCTTGTGTTATATTTCGCCATGTAAGTGAGGCTATCGGAGTCCTAATTATTTTTTCCATTCTAGAATTTTCTCCAATGTCATTAGCAAAGATACAAGTTTACATAAACTCCGCATTCAAATCCGAAGAGCAGGATTCAAAACTTGCGCTAACCGTGCAATGCTACCTTTATCGGTGCGTAGTGATCCGCGCGAACCTCAATCAGCCAACAAGCCACCATAGTTTTTTTTTGTGAGGGGAAAATCATCAAATGACTTCTCCAGCCCAGGGCCGCGCGGGGGAAGTCAGACTCTTACTGACTAAAAACCCCCCTGTTCCTTCTTCTGCTCTAGGCATCATTGCGCTTACCCCGCAACCCCGGCTGAACATCAGCCCTATGCGGCCCCGTCTGTGGTGGTCTATTGGCTCTTTGAGGCGCGCGCGGAACGCTGCGCGCCGTACGCTCAGGAAGCCACCATAGCTGGAGTCCCTGTCTGGAGCAGGAGAAGGGACAATGAATTTTAGTCAGTTTGACATTCATAGATACATAATATTAGAGGATTTTCCCCGCTCATTAAAAAACCGTGCTATCTGACAGTTAATGTTCTATTAGAAAAGCCAACTTCTTAACTCAGTTTGAAGTTCGGATCGGTACATTCACCCAAAAACCTGAAGTAAAATAATTCTGCATTACACACGAGATAATAATTATGATTTAATAATAATACGACCGACATATCTCCGGTATTAGGACGGCGCCAATCTATTTACGGCAGGCACTTTGGCATGCGTGTTAATCAAATGTATGCTCAATTTAATCATACCGGTAACTTCTTAATATATGTTATGACCTGGGACGGTATGGGAACTTTCAATTAATACCTATTTTTGAGACTGGATGACTAGAGTTTCGCCTAACATTTCTGTTCTAGATGGGGTCTAGGGTGCTGGTTCAGAACCTGGCAAGTGTGATATTTTTCCAGTGTATGCCAGTTACATACTTTTAATGATTATTAAGACATTACTGACAAATGGTGAAGGTAAACATCCTGAGGAAACCTGGACTTATAATTTCTAATTATAAGTTTGAAATCGCCAATCCGCCTTGAGCAATCGATGCTCAAACCTTCTACGAGTAAGAAGAGGCCTTTGCTGAGAAGTAGGCACTTATAGGCTGATGATGTGTGGTGTACTGATAACGCAGTTAGCAGACTCACAAGCGAGAGTTGCTGGAGACAGAGCAATAATATACGGCAGCCTCGGCCTGGAGCAGAAAAAGGTAAGGGGCGGTTTTTAGTCAGTAAGAGTCTGACACTTCCTCTCGCCTTAATTAGAGGGAGAGAAGTCATTTGATGATTTTCCCCTTATAAACAAGGGTTATAATGTAATGCAGCCCCACCCCTGAGCAGGAGAAGAAAAGGAGGAGGTTTTTAGTCAGTAAGAGTCTGGTAAACATTCTCGCCCCACCAAGGGTGGCGCAAGTCATTTTATAATTATCAAAGAGGTCTTAAAAACTTAAGAAAATGGCACAAACGAGCTAAATCTTAACGATGCACAAATTGTTTACACTTTTCCCTCCACTTATTTAACTACACAAATTATATTTTTTTCTAATTATTAACCACAAATAATCTACTTCAATTATCACCTAATTACAAACTTTCTGTTTGAAGAGCAATTTAATTTTTCTTATAAAGAAAAACTGTACGAATATAAAAAGAAACCGCAATGTAACAACGTCGCCAGTTCAGTTAGATTGTTGGTTAATTGGCGAGCTGTTTAGTTCAAACAGTTATTATTTAGTTCAAGTCTCGTGGTAGGCATAGGTTATGCGGCGGTGGCTTTCATCTGGCTAATAAAAACATTTAGAATGGAAGCTGGCCGCGTCTGTACGAGCGATGGTAAACGGTACAGTCTGGTGCAGTCGCGTTGGGGAAAAGCACAAAATACCTCATTTTCATTATTTTCGTAATACTTTGGAGGTGTTACAGAACAAGGTGGAAAGGGAGGGCCCTCCGACCAGACGGGTGTTTTCGGGGCTACTACCCGATCCACGGTTTTTGTCGGGATTTTGTATCAGTTATAACTGTGTTGAGAACTGTTATATCGCGATGTGGAAAAGTGATCGTGATTGGTGCTGTTGCTGTGTGTTGTGTAGTAGATGTTGCTGTAATATCATTTTGTCACCACGACTCTTGCTGCTTCGGTAAATGTGCATACTGCTTAAGATGGTCTCTAGCATGGCTTGAAACTAGTCAAACAGTTACTGTAAACCTTATCATCATCAGACAAAAAAAGCATTTACAAAAAAAATCTCCGAATATTGTGTCAACCAACCACAGTCACTATCCGTTTTT